GGTAATTGGACAAATGCATTTAAACGTAAAATATGCTGGGCATTATGCCCAATCGTTACTGGACATTTTGGACAGAAAATGATATTTTTCTCAGCAGCGCACTCTCAGAGAATCCACTCACTCGCTGACCGGACTCGTTCGAGTGCGTCACGCCAGCTGGCCCGCTTACACGCACGCAGGGAATGCCAGAGAGAACGGCTTTGTCTGTCTCACTCACATTCGTGCCAACGTGTCTGTCTGCGTGTTTTAGTGAGAGTGCTCTCTGGCTGAATATGCGTCTGTGTGTGTGGCCCAGCAGCCAAGCCGCCATAACAAATAAATTGTAAATATTTATGCGGCCGCCCTTCCAAAGCGCGCGCCAAAAAAAAAACCGAATGGAATACGCATCCGGATGAAATGCGCGGCGGAGCAATGGTTGGAACTGTAAGCCAGCAGCTAAGTAGCCTTTTATTGCGGAACAATTCACAAATAAATGTTTGATTCCGTGCGCTCTTGTTTCGATGGCCACCGGTTCGTCGGACAAGGACAACACTAGTGGTGCGTCCTGTGGCGGATGTTTGCGGCCTGTTGTCGCTCTCTCTGCAGCCGCCCGCTCACCGAAAACATGCTACTCCGCGAGTTGTCTAACACTGTGGCCAACAGAGATGAGTGAAAGTAGTGACCCGATCTCACCTGTTTGTAGCAGAAATGTGAATTTTGTAATATGGTTTTCTGATAAAATGTATCCCCAAAAAACCACGCATTTATTGAGAAATTAAAATATTCATGGCGATTCCATGAAAAGATTTTTTCGAGTGGAGTTTGTTTCGATTTTACTTTGCTTCAACATATTAAATACGGTTGCCCATATCGATGTTTCCAGCCATTTCCTTACACTACGAAATTCATCTTATGAAAGAAAAGTTCAATATGCCAGAAAGGCGATATCTTTCGAGGTTCCCAGTATGATTTTGTGATTTCCATGCGTCTTCAAGCCAATAATTAAATAATTAGGAACATTTGCCGGAATACCATATACCATTCGGCAGTGTATTTCAGCTATGCATATGATATGTTTCCTAACTTATGTTATGTACATATGTATGCCCACATGTCTGAGCTGCATGCTGCATGTCCCTATCAAGCTGGGATTTGTCCGTATTCTTGTCCTGAAAATGTCCTGAAAAAGTGACATGATCGCACATGATCGTGAAAGTAGTGATCTAGTAGCTTAAAAATACTTGCCAACAAGTCATGACATCACTACCGTCGACCACTCGCTGGCTTGTTATCTGGCCCGCTCTCTCGCTCTCCGCTCCCGTAGTAGCGGGCCCGTAGTCGTTTCAGCTTCAGTCTTTCTTTCTAGTTCTGTTGCTACTCGTTCGCGAAATCAGTTGACTTTCTGCTGCAACACAAGCGGATGAAATTTTTTTGTTTTAGTGTTGCGAAAAAGTTTGCAGCAATTGCCAAAAATCGGGGAAAAATGTGAAAATTATACGGTATAAATGCGAAATTTGACAAAACTCCATAGAATAATACAAAATTAAGTGCGTGGCAAAAAGTTGCAGTTTACAAAATTAATTCGCCGAACAGAATTACCTGAAATTTTTTCCTAATTAACTACGATATTTTCTCGAATTATGGATTTGCCGGCCAGAATTTTGTGATTTTTTGCGGGGCCGCCAAAATTGCCTAATGCCCAAGCACAACACAAAAAATTTCTGCAATAGAAACTTTGAAGCGACGTGAAGAAGAAAACGACGAGCGGAGCGACACAAAAAATGGAATATATTTCTGTCGTCGTCTCTGTTTTTCTTTCCTTTTCCAATGCTCCTCGCACTCGCTGGCCGCTTACCCATAGTGTGTGTATGCGCACACACCAACACCATTAAAATGCTAGCACACTAGCAAACGTGCGAGAGCGTGTTACTCTCTTTCTCTCTCTGAGTCGTGTCGCTGTGAGTGCTAGTGTGTGTGTGTTTTTGTGTGGTGAAAACTTACGAGAATATATCTGTACACTCGTTCCGTCCCGCTCTGGCGACCGCCACTGTCGGTGGAGCTTGGTCAGCATGACGAGTGGCAGACAGAGACCCCAAACCCAAAGCAAAGCAAACCAAACGCAGAGGCGCAAAAAGCTTTTCGTCGAAAAACTTGCGAGTAGGCTCTCGATTTAAATCTCGTACGATGATGGCCGCCCGCAGCTGCGCCTCCAATGCGGAAGCAAAATCAAAATAATGCAATTTTTGCTTGTCAAAAAACTAACGTCAGAAATTATGCATTTTCTGTATGGGGAGTAATTACTAGAGTGAAATTTTTGGCAATTTTCCCTGCCATATATTTTGTGGGAAAGGCGACTGTTACAAAAAGGGCGGCACTTGTTTGGCCCTGGCGGCAAAACGATTTGATTATTTTTCCTATTTTTGAACTGCTGCGCAAGAGCGAGAGGGGCTACACGTCCACGTCTGGTTAGATCTAGCGAGTGGATGAAATATTGCGAGTGTGGGAGCGAGTTCGAGTGCCGTTGTCAAGTCGTGTCCGTCCGTCTGTGGCGGCGGCGGTGGCGGCGGCGGCGTAGGAGTCTGTGTCTCCGTCTCGTCTCTGTCTCGCCGCAAGGAGGCAGGAGGTGGCGTCGGCGGAGGAGGAAGCTGTGGTGTGGCAGGGGGGCAGAGCAGCCCGGCCAGAAGGCGGCAAGTCGGCTAAAAAGATAAATAAATATTGGCAATCGGTAGCATTCGCCGCAGTAGCCAAAGTAGCGGGAATGTCATTGTCGCAGCCGTGTCGTAGTCCCGTTCTGTGGACATCTCTCAAGCACAAACACACACACAAACACCGAACCCCATGTGTTGCTGTGTCCTGTGTCTTATGCTGTGTTTGTGTTTTTTTTTTACAGTTAAAGTGCAATGTTAGAGCAAAGACAACGAGGAACGACGACGGAGCAACATCGAAGAATGCAGAAGCAGCGGAAGCAGCAGCACTACGTAGCAAACGCAACACAACAATAATTAAAAGTGCAACAATTACAGCAACCAAAACAACAACAACAACCAACATGTGAATTGCGTTTTTTTTTTTTTAACAAAACCAAAACAAAACCACGAAGAGCAAGTGTAGCCAGAGCCTGAGAGAGAGGGAGAGTGAAAGAAGGAGAAAGCGAAAAGCGAGGAGCGCCATAAGAAAGAGACAAAGAAAGAAAAAGCCGCCAAAATGTTATAGCAACAGCAACAAACACATAAACAACAACAACTAGCAACAAACCAACAGCAAAAACCAACAACAAATGTAATATAAATAACGGTTCAAGCAAAACCAAAAAACAATTTCGCGCGCGCTCTTTTTCCTTCTACCCTTTGTTTCTCTCAAAGACGGACGGGGACGAACACTGAAAACTCACACAAACAAAAATACAAAAAAACAACAAAACCGCTGCTTCTACGAATTATATTTTGTTCGTCAAACATATTTTTTGAAAACTTCAATCGTCATTCAATCATCGTCATAATAACCACTTCAATAAAACTCCACTCCCCCCGCAATATTCCGGAAACAGCAAACAAACAAAACAACAACAATTGCAACAATAACAACTTTGAAAAGTGGCTAGAACAAAAACAGAACAACAAAATAAGAAATCGGAAAGAAAGAGAGCAACAAAAACAAAAAGGAGCAGCCACCAAGAAACCACCACCAACACCAATCCCCCCCATCCCCAAACCAAGGTCATCTCTTTGGTGGGGCAAACCAACACGAAAATGCACGCGAGCGTTGACTGGTGTTTAAGAAACAACAAAATCGACAAAATTTACCAGGAAGAGCAGCAGTATCAGCAGCAGAAGCAGAAGCAGCAGGAGCTGGAGGATCTGATCCGCTCGCGGTTGTTGTTGGGTGAGCAGCTGAGCTCGAAGTGGGTCGAGCTGACCTTCGAGGTGCGGTGCCAATTGGACACGGACGCGATAGATCTTTGGCTGGAGGAGAAGGCACAGGAGCGGCAAAAGGAAAACAGACGGAGTGCCACCAAAGCCACACCATCCACGCACACAGCCACAGTCACAGTCACAGTCACAGTCATAGCATCCTTGACAGCATCTGTACCGCCGCCAGGAGAGAATTCTTCTTCGAGGAACAGAACGTCGAGATCATCTGGAGGAGCAGCAGCAGCAACAGGCGGAGTAGGAGGAGGAGGATCAAAAGCTGAAGCTGCCACAAACCACAAAACAGCAACCGCACCGGCAACCGCAACCTCAACAACAAGTAAAACTAAAAACAAAAGAGGAGCAGGAGCAGGATCAGGAACAGCAGAAGCAGCAGCAGCAGCAAATATTCAATTGACAGCTTTATCAAAGTTGGAGAAGCATCAAAAAACGATTCAAATTCAATTTCAATTTCCACTGAAAATCCATCAATTGGAAAATCCTATATCGGTTTTTGCCATTTGAGTCCTAGCAGTCGGGCCGTGCTGTCGGGCAAGTTGTAGTTCCACCCGTGCCTGTGCTTGTGCTCCGTGTTCTTGTTCACGTTCACGTTTGAGTTCGAACTCGATTTCGAATTTACGTTCCCGCGTTCTCCATTCCCCGTTTTCTCGTGTGTACCGTAAAGTGTGTAAAATTACAACAAGAAAGAAAAGAAAACGAAAGGGAAGGGAAGGGAAAAGGAAAACAAAACAAAACAAAACAAAAGCAAACAAAAAACATAAGATCATCGACAAAATCAAATAACAAAATTGTGCAAATTTTGTAAAAGAAATATAGGAAAACAAAACAAAAGGAAAGGACAATTTTAAGGAAATTTTCGAAAACATTTTTGTTGACAAAGCGAGCGGCAAGCGGCAAGTGGCAAGCGGCAAGCGGCGTCTTCCCGGCGTTCGTGCAGCGTCGTGCAGGGTCGTGTGGATCGTATCGTGCATCATCATACACTCGCACTCGACTCTCCGTATAATCATTACTTTTGTTGTTATTCAATTTAATTTCGAATTAAAATTAAATTTAAATTTGGATTACAATTTGGATTTCAATTTGTATTTGGATTTGGATTTGGATTTGTTGGATATCTTCGGTTCAATCGAACTCTTCTGCAAAACTCTGCAGAACCCAAAGCGATCTTCATGATGGCGGATCATTTGGACGAGCCGCCCACAAAGCGGGTTAAAATGGATCCAAGTGAGTAATCCTGGATTCCACATCCCACATCCTGGACATATTCAAACATTCATATTATTGCTTATTTTGCTTTTGTTCCTTTAGCGGATATCTCGTTGTTTCTGGAAGAGAATCTGCCCGACGAGCTGGTGTCCTCAAACAGCGGCTGGTCGGATCAGCTGAGTGGCGGCGGCGGCGGTGGCGCCTCGAATGTTGGCGTCACAAACACAAACTCAACAGGCGGCGGCGGCGGACCACAAGCCGTCGTCGGCGTCGGAGTCGGACCAAACAAACAGACAGGCCCTGGCCCTGGCTCTGGGCCAGGCGTCGGTCAGGTTGTCGTTACCTCACAAATGAACGGAGCCGGCGGTGGCTCCCAGCAGCCTGGCAGCGGCGGCGACGATGGCAGCGGCAACAGCAGCAGCGGAGGCGGCGGCGGAGGAGCGGGCAACCAGCAGCAGCTCCGCCAAATGCAGCAGCACCAGCAGCAGCACCAGCAGCAGCTGCAGCACCTACTCCAGCAGCAGCAGCAACAGCAACAGCAGCAGCAGCAGGGCCAGAAGGGGACCATGGTGGTGCCGGGGATGAACCAATTGGGCAGCAAATCCCCAAATCTGCAGTCGCCCAATCAGAGCGTCATGCAGCAGGTTGCCACACAGATGGGCATGGTAAATTCGATGCCCATGTCGATATCGAATAATGGAAACAATGGCATGAATGCCATACCAGGTGAGTGCCGCTTGATCCCAGATCATTCTTTCTTCCTCTCGGATATATGTACATGTGCAATCCTGTCTCCCGTCTCCTGTCTCCTATCCGCAGGAATGAACACAATCGCCCAAGGGAATCTGGGGAACATGGTCCTCACCAACAGCGTCGGCGGCGGCGGCATGGGTGGCATGGTCAACCAGCTGAAGCAGCAGCAGCAGCAGCAGCAGCCAGGCGGTGGCATGATCAATGCCGTTTCAGTGGCAGGCGGACCCGGAGGCCCCGTGGGCGCTGGCAGCGGCTCAGTGGCACCCAACCAGCAGGGCATGCACATGCAAAACGGTCCGATGATGGGTCGCATGGTCGGCCAGCAGCATATGCTGCGCGGTCCCCACATAATGGGCGCTGCCGGAGGTGGCAATGGACCAGGCGGCCCGGGGAATGGACCCGGCGGCGGAGGACCACGCATGCAGAATCCCAACATGCAGATGGGTAGGTCCACCGACGAGACCGGCAAGAAGGGAGCCACTGCTAATCCTTATCCTAATCCTCTCGTTGCTCGTTTTCCCGCAGGACAACTGAATAGCATGCCCTACGGCGTGGGCCAGTACGGAGGTCCGGGCGGCAACAATTCCCAGCAGCAACAGCAGCAGCTGCTTGCCCAGCAGATGGCACAACGGGGAGGAGTCGGTGTCATGCCGCAGGGCAATCGCCCAGTGGGCACTGTTGTCCCGATGCCCAGTTTGGGCGGCGATGGCACCGGCGGGCCCACCGGACAGCTAGTGGGCGGCAATCCCCAGCAGCAGCAGCAGATGCTCGGACAGCAGCAGCAGCCGGGTGCCCTTGGACCTCGTCCCCCGCAGCCGAACCAATTACTGGGCCATCCGCAGCAGCAGCAGCAGCAGCAGCAGCCAGGAACCTCACAGCAGCAGCAGCAGCAGCAGCAGGGAGTTCAGGGTGTCCAGGTGGGAGCAGCAGGCGGAGCTGTGACAGCAGCAGTCGGAGGAGCGGGAAATCCACAGGCGAACCGCCAGGATGTCCCCGACGACCGCAAGCGACAGATCCAGCAGCAGCTGATGCTCCTGCTGCACGCGCACAAGTGCAACCGGCGGGAGACCCTTAATCCGAACCGCGAGGTCTGCAACGTACCCTACTGCAAGGCGATGAAGGCGGTACTGGCGCACATGGGTACCTGCAAGCAGAGCAAGGACTGCACCATGCAGCACTGTGCTTCCTCGCGCCAGATCCTCCTGCATTACAAGACCTGCATCAACAGCACCTGCATCATCTGCTATCCGTTCCGCCAGAGTCATTCGGTGTTCCAGAACGCCAATGTCGGAGGCGGCGGAGGAGCGGGCGGCGGTGGTGCGACCCCTGGCGGGGTCCCACCAGGCAGCGGAGGGGCCGGCGGTCTCCAGCAACAGCAACAGAACCAACCTCTCACCGTGCTCGGTGGCGTCGGGGGATCACTCGATGGCAAGCAGCAGCAGCAGCAACAGGTAGGAGCCCCAGGAGGAGCCCAGAATACGGGCCTCGTGATGCCCCAGCAGCAGCAGCAGCAGCAGGGCGGTGCACCCAAATCCAACGCCGAAATGGCCCAACAACTCGCCCAGCAGCAAGTCCAGCAGCAGCAGCAACAGCACCAACAGCAGCAGGAGCTGCGACGCTTCGATGCCATGGGCCAGGTGGGACTCTCTCCCGTGACGGCCGGCAATATGATCGGCGGTGGCGCAGGTGTCGGAGCGGGCCAGCAGCAACAGCAGGGGATGCCTCCGAGCATTCGAATGCAGGGCATCCCACCCACTGTGCGAGTCCTGGGACCCACGGGTTCCGGTTCCGGTTCCGTCCTGCCCAACGATGTGAATAGCCTCCAGCAGCAGCAGCAGCAGATGCTCCAGGGCCAGTGCAATGCCGCCAATGCTGGCAATCGGCGACGCGGTGGCCTCCCCAACATGGTCGACCAGCAGCAACAGCAGCAGCAGCAGACGAATCCCGCACAACAGCAGTTGGGAAACATTCCCACGCCGCTTTCTGTGAGTGTCGGAGGCTTCGGCAGCGCCAACTTTGGCGGAGGAGCGGCAGACAAGCAGCAGCTGGTGGGGCAGGCGGATCAGCTGTCGAAGCTGAAGGTGCCCCAAGTTCATCCCCCAAGTGGCGCAGGACCTGGTGGTGCGACTGGCGTGACTGCCGGCGGCCAGGGTTCCAGTGTACTGATGCCCGCCGATACGACGGGTGCCAGCGGGGGGACTGCGAACGCGAATCCCAATCAGAATTCGACTGGAGGCGGCGGTGGTGCCGGAGGAGGCGGCGGGACAGGAGGAACGGGTTCCACAGGCAACGACAGCGAAAAGGACTGGCGGGAGTCGGTGACGGCGGATCTGCGGAACCACCTCGTCCACAAGCTCGTGCAGGCCATCTTCCCCACCTCCGATCCGACGACGATGCAGGACAAGCGGATGCACAACCTCGTCTCCTACGCGGAGAAGGTCGAGAAGGACATGTACGAGATGGCCAAGAGCCGCTCCGAATACTACCACCTGCTCGCTGAGAAGATCTACAAGATCCAGAAGGAGCTCGAGGAGAAGCGGCTGAAGCGCAAGGAACAGCACCAGCAGATGCTCATGCAGCAGCAGGGCACGGGCCCCGTATCCGGTTCGGGTCCCGTGGTCGTTCCCGGCGGCGGCCCCGTTGGAGTGCCAGGAGGCGTGGGCGGAGTACCCGGCTCCGTCTCCAATCCTACGGTGGGCGGTGGCCTGCAGGGCGTCGTCGGGCCGCAACAACAGCAGCAACAGACCCAGCAGCAGCAGCAATCCGTTGGCGGAGTCCGTCCCATCATCAGTCCAATGGGGGGCGTGATGCAGCCACAGCAGCTCCGTCCCCAGGGTCCTGGCGGCATGGTCGTCGGTCAGCAGCAGCAGCAGCCAGTGGGTGGCGGCCCCGTGGGTGTCGCAGGACTGGCAGGAGCACTCGGTGTTGGCGTTGGAGGCCAGGCGAATATGGTGACGATGCGTAGCCACTCGCCCGGCGGCAACATGCTCACGTTGCAACAGCAGCAGCGCATGCAATTCCCGCAACAGCAGCAACAGCAGCAGGCTGGCAACATGCTGGTGGGTCCTCCGGGACCCAGTCCCGGCGGCATGGTAGTCAATCCCGTGCTCTCCCCCTTCCAGACGGCCGCTGGAGCGGCCAATGTCCTCACCAGTCCAGTGCCTGGCCAACAGCAGCAGCAACAACAGCAACAGCAGCAGCAGCAGTTCATCAACGCAAATGGTGGCACCGTAGCGGGCAGCAATCCCCAGCTGAGCGAAATGATGAAGCAGCGACACCTCCACCAGCAGGCGGCGGCGGCAGCGGGCATGCTCATGCCCCAGTCACCCTTCAGCAATGCCACGGCTATTCAACAGCAGCAGCAGCAGCAGCCGAACAGCAACAGCTTCAACTCTACCATGCAGCAACAGCAGCAGAAGCCGCCTGGAAGTGTCCTCAACAACATGCCACCGACACCCACGAGCCTCGATTCAGCCTTGACTGCAGGAGGGGCAGGATCTGGTGCGGCGGGTAGTGGAGGTGCGAATGGAGGAGGAGGATCAGCAGGAGGTGTACCCTCGAGTGCGGGTGGAATGACGGTTTCAGAGCCCAGTCCCTCCCCCGGCGGAGGCGGTGGAGGATTCATCTCCAATGGTCCCGTCGGCACTCCCTCCAACAGCAGCAACACCAACACCAACAGCAACACCAACAACAACAGCAACAGCATCATCAATCCCCCGTCGGTGAACAGCCTCATGCAGCCAATGAGCAATCGAGCCAACACTCCACCCTACGTGCCGGCCTCCCCCGTGCCGGCGACCAGTGCCTCCGGCCTGGCGACTAACAGTGCCCCGACCTCGGCGGCAGCAACGTGCGCCAGCAGCAGCAACAGCAACAGCAATAGCAATAGCAATAGCAACGGCAGCAACGGGAGCAACAGCAACGGCAGCAACAGCAACGGAAGCAACTGCGGCAGCGGCAGCGGGAGCGGCAGTGGCAGTGGGAGCGGCAGTGTGGGAGGAGTTGGAGGCGTTATGGCCACCACAACGACCACGACGACGTCGGCAACGACGCCGCTCAGCTGCAATTCCTCCTCGTCGGCGACGGCAACGATTGCATCGAGCGGACCGGGCAGCGGAGGCTCTCTTTCGGCGCCGAACAGCAATCCCCACATGCTGGCAACGACCTCCTCCGGTGGCAATGGTAGTGGCGGCAGCAACCAGCAGCAGCAGCAGTCACAGCCGAGCCGCATGATGAGCAGCTCGAGCAGCCTATCCTCCCAAATGGCCGCCTTGGAGGCAGCGGCGCGTGATAACGACGACGACACCCCATCGCCCACGAACGACACAAACGGCAGCGGGGGCGGCGGTAAGGCTTCGAAGGGGAAGCTGGACTCGATCAAGCAGGAGGACGAGATCAAGAAGGAGTTCATGGATGACAGCTGCGGCGGCAACAACGACAGCTCCCAGATGGACTGCTCCACGGGCGGCAAGGGCAAGAATGTCAACAACGACGGCACCAGCATGGTCAAAATGGAGATCAAATCGGAGGACGCCGACGGCGATGGCAATGTCAAGATCAAGACCGAGCCCATGGATGTCGACGAGAGTGCCTCATCGGCCACACACGAAGGCGGCGGCGGTGGCGGCAAGGATGATATCAACGGTGCCCACGATGGCATCTCCGGAGCGGGGGGCATGGACATCAAGACCAAGATCGAGCCAAAGCCCCTGGTCCCAGAGCCACTGGCCCTGCAGGCTGGTGACAAGAAGAAGAAATGCCGTAAGTAATGACCAGAACCAAGTTTGGGGCAGTACCTGTCGCAGGACAATCCTTGCAATGCCTGCTATCACTCTCCCTCAGACCCCTTCCTTTGATACAATCAAAAATAGCTGAGGGAACAGCTGACACTAATCTCTTTCTCTTCGTTAAACTTCTGACAACACTCTTGGGGCCATAAACAGAGACATAAACAGAGAAAGTATGAGTAGAGCAGCCAAACCCGAGGGTGTCGAGTGGGCGGAGGGGGCGGAGGGCCGCGATCAGAGACGAAGGCTGTGCCTAAAAGAGAACTGAACTGGTCTCTCGTGCAACATCTTGTATAGTCTTTCTTTTACTTTCAATATCGTCAACCATCCACAGATGGTTGATGGTTGATGGCTGATGGTTCAGGGATTGCGGATTGGGGATTGGGGATTTGAAGTTCAATGCTAAAATTGTAAAATCCTTATTCCAGAATTCAATCCGGAGGAGCTGCGCACCGCATTGCTGCCAACGTTGGAGAAATTGCTGCGCCAGGAGCCGGAATCGGTGCCGTTTCGGTATCCGGTGGATCCACAGGCGCTGGGCATACCCGACTACTTTGAGATCGTTAAGAAGCCGATGGATCTGGGCACGATACGGAACAACATCCAGAACGGCAAGTACAGCGATCCCTGGGAGTACGTGGACGATGTTTGGCTGATGTTCGACAATGCGTGGCTCTACAATCGCAAGACCTCACGCGTCTACCGCTACTGTACCAAGGTAACGTAACGTCCAAGGATATACGGGGGACTACAGCCGTACTACAGCTGTGATCCATGCTGCCCCAATCGATGCTAACACCTGCTCCCCCATCTTCCCATCTTTTCTCCCTCAGCTTTCGGAGGTGTTCGAGGCAGAGATCGATCCAGTGATGCAAGCCCTGGGCTACTGTTGCGGCAGGAAATACACCTTCAATCCCCAAGTGCTGTGCTGCTATGGCAAGCAGCTGTGCACGATACCGCGCGACGCTAAGTACTATAGCTACCAGAACAGGTATGTGCTGCCCTCCGACTCACCCTTCTACTCTCATCCTTCTCCCTGTCTCCGCACTCACCCACTCCACACATATTGTTTCCCAGAGATCCAATCCACGTCACGTTTGTCTGTTTGCTAAAAAGTTTGTCCGCCGTGCCAAAAGGATTGATGATTCCATGATTCCAAGATTCCAAAAAGTAGAGCCAAAGCTTCAATGCCACTCCGCTTCTGCTTCCGCTTCGGCTTTCCATGTTTCCGATGAACACAAAATATTCTGATAGGTGCCTCCCAGATTCACCAATATATAATATTGAATAAATTTGAAAAAACAAATTCGAGTAGAGCGAGCAGAAAGAAACAAATAAGACAGGATCCCCCAGATATCTGTCACAACATATGTCCCCCAAATTCATGGATATCCTGGCCAATGGTGGATTATCGCTGGTACCCTGATGTTGAGTTACCGATTACCGGTTACTTTTCTAACGGTAGTTTTTTGTAATTGATGTATCGATTACTGTCCGATAATCCGATCATCCCACTCATTATATTTACAACCAGCCATCCCCTCCACCCCTGCTCCCTGCCCCCCTTCCACACTCATCCGCCTTCCGTTTATAATTGTTGTAATAATTGTGTGTAAACAAATTTTAATGCAAATTACCTAACACTTTTCGTTTCTCTTCCTTTCTTTCTTTCTTGCATTCTTTTCCATTCCCACCTCCTGTGTGTGTGTTCCTTGCTCCCGCCAAAACCAAAACAAAACAAAACAAAAACCAACAACAAAACCAACAACAATTCCCGTTAACCTGCGTTCCGTTGCGCCTCCCAAATGTGCATATAACTGTGTCTGTGTCTTTGTGTTTCTGTGTTACGTGTCGTCTCCTTGCCCACACATTTAATAATAATAATAATACGTGTATTAAAAATTATCTGTGCCTGTGTTTCTGTGTGTATTTGTGTGCCGTAATAATTAATTAATTAACAAAACGAAACAAAAAACCGATTCGATCCGATCACCACACTCCATTCCATTTCACTCTTTCTCTCACTCACGGACACCACTCGCGCACGCACTCATCTTCAAAATGCACACACACACACACACACACAACACAAATGCGCCCTCGCTCAACACAATAATGATGATGATGACCATCTCGCTCTCGCACCCACCACAACCCATACCATACCACAATCTGCAACCTGCCAACACTTGACAACACTACTCGCCACTTGCCTGCTCGTTCATTCGTTCGTTCGTTGTTGTTCTTTTTGGCTGCCATCTTCAAAAACTCTCTCGTACATCGCATCCAACAACAAAACTAAATCTTCGTAAACAAAAACGTGAACAAAAAAAACCAAAACAAAAACCAGTCTAAAGGAATACGGTGTCGCCTCAAATAGATACACCTTCTGCCAAAAGTGCTTTAATGACATCCAGGGAGACACGGTCACACTGGGTGACGATCCGTTGCAGTCACAAACGTAAGTGTATGCCCCTTACCTACTTTCCCCCTTTATCCCGTTCGATCCGATCCGATCCCTATTCCAATCTTTTTTTGTTCCGTATCCCTCTGTAGACAAATCAAAAAGGACCAATTCAAGGAGATGAAGAACGATCACCTGGAGCTGGAGCCTTTTGTGAACTGCCAGGAATGCGGCCGCAAGCAGCATCAGATCTGTGTCCTCTGGCTGGACTCCATCTGGCCGGGCGGCTTTGTCTGCGACAATTGCCTCAAGAAGAAGAACTCGAAGCGGAAGGAGAACAAATTCAATGCCAAGCGCCTGCCCACCACCAAGCTCGGCGTCTACATCGAGACGCGCGTGAATAACTTCCTCAAGAAGAAGGAGGCGGGAGCGGGCGAGGTGCACATACGCGTAGTCAGCTCCTCGGAGAAGTGCGTCGAGGTGAAGCCGGGAATGCGGCGACGCTTTGTCGAGGGCGGGGACATGATGAACGAGTTCCCGTACCGGGCGAAGGCCCTGTTCGCCTTCGAGGAGGTGGACGGCATCGATGTCTGCTTCTTTGGCATGCACGTTCAGGAGTACGGATCCGAGTGTCCGGCGCCCAACACACGACGCGTCTACATTGCCTACCTCGATTCGGTGCACTTCTTCCGGCCGCGCCAATACCGTACCGCGGTCTACCACGAGATCCTGCTCGGGTACATGGACTATGTGAAGCAGCTGGGCTACACGATGGCCCACATTTGGGCGTGTCCGCCATCGGAGGGGGACGACTACATCTTCCACTGCCATCCGACGGACCAGAAGATACCGAAGCCGAAGCGCCTGCAGGAGTGGTACAAGAAGATGCTGGACAAGGGCATGATCGAGCGCATCATCCAGGACTACAAGGACATACTCAAGCAGGCGATGGAGGACAAGCTGGGCTCTGCCGCCGAGCTGCCATACTTCGAGGGCGATTTCTGGCCAAATGTCCTTGAAGAGAGCATCAAGGAGCTCGACCAAGAGGAGGAGGAGAAGCGCAAACAGGCAGAGGCAGCCGAGGCAGCTGCAGCGGCGAATGTAAGCCGATATTCCGAGGTGTTCATCACTTCTTAACTTTCGTTTTCCCCCTCTAATAATTGTCTTTTTTATCGTCGCGCCCAGCTCTTCTCCATCGAGGACAACGAGGTGAGTGGCGATGGCAAGAAGAAGGGCCAGAAGAAGGCCAAGAAGTCCAACAAGTCAAAGGCCGCCCAGCGGAAGAACAGCAAGAAGTCCAACGAGCATCAGTCGGGGAATGATCTCTCCGCGAAGATCTATGCCACGATGGAGAAGCACAAGGAAGTCTTTTTCGTGATACGCCTGCACTCGGCACAGTCTGCTGCCAGTTTAGCGGTGAGTCCCAAAGGAGCCAAAGGAGGCCAAAGGAGGATCGAGAACCCAGATTTATAATTGTATTTGTATCCTATTGTAGCCCATTCAAGACCCCGATCCTTTGCTAACCTGCGATCTGATGGACGGCCGCGATGCATTCCTCACGCTGGCCCGCGACAAGCACTTTGAGTTCTCGTCGCTGCGGCGCGCCCAATTCTCGACGCTCTCAATGCTGTACGAGTTGCACAATCAGGGCCAGGACAAGTTCGTGTACACTTGCAACAACTGCAAGACGGCCGTTGAGACGCGCTATCATTGCACCGTCTGCGATGTAAGACAACGCCTCAGACAAAAGAAAATGCATCCATAATCCATAATCAATAATCCTATTTTGCTCTTTCGCAGGACTTTGATCTGTGCATTGTGTGCAAGGAGAAGGTCGGACATCCCCATAAAATGGAGAAGCTTGGCTTCGACATTGACGACGGCTGTGCACCGGCGGACCACAAGCAGGCCAATCCCCAGGAGGCCCGCAAACAGTCCATCCAGCGGTGCATCCAGTCCCTGGTGCACGCCTGCCAGTGCCGCGACGCCAACTGTCGCCTGCCCTCGTGCCAGAAGATGCAGCGCGTCGTCCAGCACACAAAGAACTGCAAGCGAAAGACGAACGGTGGCTGCCCCATCTGCAAGCAGCTAATTGCCCTCTGCTGCTACCATGCGAAGCACTGTCAGGAGCAGAAGTGTCCCGTGCCCTTCTGTCCGAACATCAAGCACAAACTGAAGCAGCAACAGCTCCAGCAGAAGTGAGTACTCCAGCCCAGCATAAGTCTGAAATCCGTACCTCTGTATCCTTATTCTCATCCTGCAACCCAAACTCTCTTTCCTAAACAGACTCCAACAGCAACAGCTACTGCGTCGGCGTGTGGCCCTCATGTCGCGGACAGCCGCTCCTTCGGCACTGCCCGGACCGGCGGTCAGCGGGCCGACAGTCGTCGCTGGCGGTGTGCCCGTTGTGGGCATGGCCAATGTGATGCCCGTCGGTCAGGCGGCCGTGCTGCTGCCAGGAGTGGGCGGACATTCACCGTCTGCTGTGCCAGTGCCTTCGCCAGTGTCTGGCAGCGGAATGGGTGGCATGACCTCGCCGCATCCCCATCAGCCGGGCATCGGCATGAAGCCCGGAGGTGGGGGCGGACACCCGCCGTCGCCGAATGTCCTGCAGGTGGTGAAGCAGGTGCAGGAGGAGGCCGCTCGCCAGCAGGTGCCGCATGGCGGTGGCTTTGGGAAAGGCGTCCCAATGGCCCCGCCCGTCATGAACCGTGCTCTGGTCGGAGGAGTCGGAGGCGTCGGAGGAGTACCCAACCAGAATGTGAATCAGCTGGGAGTGGGTATGGTCGGTGGAGTGGGCGTCGGAGTTGGAGGTGTTAGTGTCGGTGTCGGAGGCGTCGGAGTGAATCTGAATCAGCTGGGACCTGGCATCGGCGGTGGTGGCAATCCCTCGGGCGGCCCCCTGCCCGGTGCCGGCAACTGCGGCAATGTCTTGAATGCCAACAACCTGCTTTCCATGGACCAGTGGGGCGCCGGCGGTGGAGGTGCGGGTGTGCCCCAGCCGCGGTACGTGAACAACGCCACGGGAATGCGCCAGCCGAACCAAATGATGCAGCAGCAGCAAAACGTCCTCCAGCAGCAGCAGCAACAGCAGCAACAACAACAACAGCAGCAGCAGCAGATGATGCTGACCAACCCGATGGGCGGAGGAGGGGTCGGCGGCGGCGGCCAGATGCCCGTCGGCGGACAGCATGGCATGGGTATGGGCGGAATGGGTACGCCGATGGGAGCGGCCGGTGCCGGAGGCGTGCGTCCACCGCCCGGAGGAGGCGGTGGCCAGGCAGCCGGAAGTTTGAACACACACCAGCTGGCCCAGATCATGCAAAAGATAAAGAACAACCCCACCAACGAGAGCAACCAGCACATCCTCACCATCCTCAAGCAGAATCCCCAGATCATGGCGGCCATCATCAAGCAGCGCCAGCAGACACAGATCAATGCAGGCGCCGTAGGCGGTGGTGCACCCGGTGGTGGCCTCCAAGCGGGCAATGGACCCCAGAATCCCCAGCAGCAACAGCAGCAGCAGCAGCAGCAACAACAACAACAGCAGCAGCAGCAGCAACAGCAACAACAGCAGGTCATGCAACAGCAGCAGATGCAGCACATGATGAACCAGCAGCAGCAGCAGCAGGCGGGCGGCCCCCAGCAGCAGCAGATAAATCCCAACCAGCAGCAGCAGCAAGTGAATCTGATGCAGCCGGGTGGACCGGGAGGCCCCCACCAGCGGATGCCCAATATGCAGCAGCAGAACTCTGCCCAAATGATGCTCCAGAACCTGCCACCGGGCGTCACCTCTCAGGGAGGAATGGTAAGTGGAAGACGAGCCAGTGGCAAGTGGCAAGTAGAAGACGCTTCTGTCGAATAGAATTAGATTTGCATCCTGTTTTTGTGTGTGGCTTGTAGTTTGCTTCCCAATGTTTTTTACTGTTACTATAAGAACCTGTAACCTATAACCACCTACCCACACCCCCATCCTCCATCCTCCATCCTACGGATAAACAGATCAGCATTGCGAATGTATACATCTATGAGATATTCTCAGCCATGGAATTCTCCATCAATGCGGCGTATGGCCTGCAGGGGCTCAGAGGGCAGGAGAAGAGCACACTGCTGGCATATATATCCTCCAGCGCCAAGTACAAGTAAATCTGAACGCGGCAAATGAGCGGCATAGAACCAGCAGGTAGAGCAGAAGAAGCCACAAAATTAAGTCAAAGGCTTTTAAGAATCTCCTTGAGCAAACAAAACCCATTCCAATGCCATACGAGAGAAGCAAGCAAGCAATTTACTGCCATGCGATCCTGACGTTCCATTCACCCACTGATCCTTCAACCCACAAGATCCTCGCTTGTTTCAATTTATCCCATTTAGCATACAACATTTCAACATAACAAAAACCCTTACATTCATTAAAACTATGCATTATCCCATATCCCGATGCTATAGATGGTCACTGAGGTCACTCTAATGAGACCGCGGATTACAGCGATTAGAACACCTCTCAAAAAAGGCTAGAACATATCCAGAAAACACTTAGAACACAACCCAAAAAAACATTTAAACCAATTTCAAAATTTAAACTCAAAACCCACTCCGGAGCAAATTTCAAGATCAAAAACCCTTCGAAGAGCTCAGAAACCGGAAAAGCGAATATCCTGAAGTTGAAATTCAATTCTCAAAATCGGCCGAGGGAGGATGATGTCGTGAAGCATGGGAAGGACCAGAGGCATAACTATTTTATTTTATATATTATGTTTTTATGTTTTTATATTTTTATTTGGAAGGACCAACGCCCTTGCAGAAGAGTCCTTCCCCATTCACTCATTCCTGGACACAAGAATCCCTTCTGCAGGGGCGAACCATTCCCAAAGACAGTAGAATGTTGAACAGTTGAACCACCCGATGGGTAATACCCGATACTCCAGATGTAAATTTATTATCCTAGACGTGTGTATGTATCCCTCTGTTTTTCTGAATGTCCAAAGTGGAGCCATGCATGACTCCACTGTATTCATAGGATCACAGCTACACTGTGATGCCGAGTCCCACCGAATCGCTTCGGAAGTCTGTTCATACAGTGATCTGAAGAACGCCGTATATCCATCCCCGGTTCAAGTAAATGTTTTTCTCCCTTCGAGGGTCGATGCAGACACTGCTTCTGAGTATCGGGTATCCGTATCCCTTCTATGGGCCGTTCCCGCAGCTACTAAGATTTTTTTTTCCCGAAATGCTCAAATGACTGCCCAAATAAGATCGAATACTCACATATACTGTCCGTCTCGTCTAGGTGCCGAACCAGAACTGGAACAAGATGCGCTACGTGCCAATGAACCAATACCCGCCTCCGTATTCGCAAAGGCAGCGCGGCCCGCACATGGGCGGAGCGGTGGGCCAGCAGCAGCAGCAGTTCCCGGGCGGCGGCGGAGCGGGCAACTTTAATGCTGGCGGCGGGGCAGGAGCCGTGGGAGTGCCTGGCGGTGTGGCTGGGGGCGGCGGCGGAGGCTCAGGTGGCCCCGGAGCGGATCAGTACTCCATGGCGAATGCGGCTGTGGTGGCGGCAGCGTCCAACATCCTGCAGCAGGGCCAAGGCGGAGCCGGTGTGGGAGTCGGAGTGGGAGTGGGCGTGAAGCCAGGGCCCGGCCAGCAGCAGCATCAGCAGCAGCAGATGGGCGTGTTGCCGCCGGGTATGCAGCAACAGCAGCAACAACCCCTTCAGCAGCAGATGATGCAACAGGTGTCGATGCCAAATGCCCCGAATGCCCAGCAGAATCCCGCCGTTGTGGGTCCTGGAGGAGGTCCTGGCTCCCAGGTGATGGGACCCCCCACGCCGCACTCCCTCCAACAGCAGCTAATGCAGTCCGCGCGCTCCTCTCCGCCCATCCGCTCGCCGCAGCCGACGCCTTCGCCCCGCTCAGCGCCGTCGCCACGCGCGGGGCCATCCGCCTCGCCGCGGGCCCAACCCTCGCCCCACCACGTCATGAGCAGCCACTCGCCAGCACCTCAGGGCCCACACGACGGCATGCACAACCACGGGATGCACCACCAGTCACCGCTACCCGGTGTCCCCCAGGACGTCGGTGTGGGCGTAGGCGTTGGCGTTGGCGTCGGTGTGGGCGTAAACGTTGGCAACTTAAATGTCGGCAATGCCGGCGGAGCCCTACCCGATGCCTCTGATCAGCTAACGAAATTTGTGGAGCGGCTCTAGTGCAGCAGCAACATTGGCCACTCCCTCCACAACCACAACAGCAGCAACCACAGTGGTGGCCACATCAACAGCAGTAACATCACGAACATCGGCCATGATATTGTCAACTATCGCTACAACGGACAGTCGCCGCACTACTTCTGATGGTAGCGACAGAGACAGCGATTTGAGACATCCAGCAGAGAATCCAGCAGCGAATGCAGCAGAGCCAGAGCCAGGGATCACACTGTGTTAATCGTATTGTTAAATTCTTTTTTAAACTCTTACTCTTTTCTACTATCACAATTATCATGTACTTATAAGATTAAGATGCGTCCCACAGCAACCAGCAGGAACCAGCAGCAACCAGCAGCAACCAGCAGCAACCAGCAGCATCCGGTAGCCGGTAGCCAGTAGCAGTCCCTCGATGTATAGCTGGAGAGAGGAGAGTAGCCGGAGAGTATAGAAGTGATGGAGGAGTTTAGAGGGAGGGACAGGCGATGCAGATGCTCTTGCTCCTGCTGCTGTTGCCGCTGTTGGTGGATGATTGGGGATTTTCGTACACCTCCGCACGCTCCACACACACGGATTATTTTTAGGCTTAGGACAACATTTGAACAAATGAGGAAACGCAAATGCATTACAGTTAGGATTACAGTTATGATTAGAAATTATCGATTATTAATTCGATTACGATCCCTTCATTTTTTATATAGTGTAATACGACTAGATTTAAATAGATCATACATACACGTTACTATGGCATTATAAACCACCTATGGCACTAATACCCCTTTACATACATATATATATATATATATATATATTTATACACACGCACACACACACACACGCATATACATGAAAATATCTTCTTATATATGTACACTACTATATATATTTCACCCCCTTCTCCACCCAATACGCACACACACAGACACACACATCACAAAGCCAAGCCAACAAATAGACCCCACAGACACGCACACAGGCATATGTCCCCCATATTTATGTCCAATTCATGAATGAGAGAGCAAGCAGAGTAACAGAGTAGCAGAGAGAGAGTGAAAGGGAGAGGGAGAGAGAAGAAAGGAAGGAGAGAGAGCACAACCTCATTTGCAACAGTTAACAGCAAGAGCAACACTTGCAACAGCAACATTAAAGCAAAAGCAAAAGGAAAGAAAAGAAAAGACGAATGCAGACTGGCACATAGTCGATGATGTAAGCCCTACCCAACAGCCCCCTTCCGAACGTCTAACGTTTCCCCCCCCCCCCCCCCCCCCCATCATTGCCCCTTAGTAAACTTAAAGTTTAAGATAATTTTTGTACCACAAAAAAGAAAAAAAGAAAAGAAAGACACGCTACAGCTACATTTACGACGGTTACAGCAAAACAATATTTATTTGAAAAAACAAAAAAATTTTAATTTAAATTAAAAGCAAAAACCTTGCTATCTGCAATGCGAAATATAGAAATGAAATGAAATGAAATATTCCAGTGCAATCGTAAATTTAATTGAAATTCTGATATTCGATAAAAAAAGATGTGGCTAAAATGTTTAATTTTTTTGTACCTACATATACAATATACAATATAGAGTATAGAGTATAGAGCATAGTATATATATAGTGTGATGGAAATAACGGATGAGAAGTACATAGTAGACTATTATTAAGCAATTGAGCAATAGAGAGCCACAACCCCACATTTGAATCAGGCGACTATCAGAGAGAATCAGAATCGGAAATTAGAAATCAGAAATCTGAATCACCCCAAGCATCACCCACACCCATATCACCATACACCATACACCATAATGTGCATCCGAGAACTGTGTGTTTGGTTGGCGATCCGAACGGATAGGCAGTTATATAAACGTGCTCCTTATAGGAGCTTCCAATTTTGGGAATAGCGAGAGTAGAATACATACAATACATATTTTTATACCAATCGAATCGAAAATCAAATTAGGGATACTAAAACTGAAACTAAAGAGAAGTAACACACACAAAAAACAATGAACAGCAATCACCCCAGCCCAAAGCCCGAGAAAACTCTTCCCTAAGTTAAATGATGTTACATATTTGAAAGAAGTACCCAGTACTAGGAAGCACTTCCAGAGACCAGACACCAGCCACCAGCCACCAGCCACCCACCCATTCGGGAGGAAGGAGGATGATGATGGTGGTGTGGTGTGGTGTGGAATGTGGTCAGGGATAGGGTTGGGGTACGAAATCAGAATCAGGAGACAAAAACGATGCCACATAAAACCTTAAATTAAATTAAACTAAAAAATATACAAAACTTACAAATGAATGAGATCGAGAACACCAAACTAACAAACAATCGATGATGTTACAGGAGGAGGATAGAGTTGACGAGGAGAAGAGAGGAGAGGATTAATCAGGATGAACATGAACATTACAAAACATGTGCAACAAAATAGCAATAGACACAATGCTTTGTAAACCGTTAGAGTACTTCAAATATATATATATATATACTTTGATACTTAGGATATAAGGGAAACAAAACGAAACAAAACAAAAGTAAAGTAAAGTAACGTCAAGTAAAGTAAAGGACAGTAAGGGAAAGAAAAAAGCTTGTAGCTTTTAACAGAACTGTTTCATACGAATTGTTCGTGTTTTTTCTTTGTTTTTTGTAAGCGTAATCGATGTTCGTGTATGTGTTACATGTTGTGTGTGTGTGTCTTGTCTTTTATGTTGCCTGTGTACCCCCATTTTGTGATTGTCCCAAGTGTGTGTTCCAATCAGCAACCCGCAATCCCAATCCTTTCATGGATTTCAAGCGACAAAATTTACATAGTCATAAGCAAAAAGTAAAACAGTAAAAAATCGACAGCGAACGAAAGTGCCGCGTGCCCAGTTGGTGTGTGGATGCGTCAGAGAAGAATACTTTAAAGATCTTGAACTTAGTATTTGATATTGTGATAGCCAATATGAAGAGGAGAGGGGAGGAGCAGAGATCAACATACCAGCTCCCCAACAACAGCAACAACAACAAGAAACAACAGGATGTCTCAAACAAAAAACAAACAGACGAGTAGGACAAGAACGAGAGTATGATTAGGAGAAAAGTGTTTAAGTGGAATCCAATACCGATACTATGCGATACACGTCATGAAGAATGCTATTTATTAATGCTAGAAAACGTAGAAATAAGCCATGGGTATATATATAGACTACATATACCACATATATGTATGACGAGTAGGACAACGCCAAGAGATCGTCAGATCTGCAGATCTTCAGCAACAGAACGAAACCGACGAGGGGTTTTGATTCTAGAATAGATTTAAAATGTTTTTGTAATGTTAGAAGCGTGTTAGAAGAAGGGAGCGTGCGCTGCGCTACTCGCTTTTCGTTTTCAAACTGTGTTTTTTTTTCTTGTTTGTACACCAGTTGCCGCCGCCCAAGACTACTGCTACTACTACTCGATAGAAAGTACGTACTAGGAGGGAGAGACAGTGAGAGAAGTGAAAGCGAATATATATATATATATTGAGAGAGAAAGAGCAAGAGAGAGCGGGAGGTAGAGAGTTTTGTACAATATAAATACTAGCATTATAGTACATTAAATCTTATAAAATGCGCATAACAAATGCCTTCAATTGCGCCACGAGCAAGTAACACATTAACCTTTATTGTAAATATATACATTACATTATATACAAGATATATACATACATATATTTACTACATACATGTAGCTCGGTAGTTATCCTAGTTGGTGGCCCCGCGCCCGCCCCGAGCGGGGCGGTACACGCATAAGCAGAAGAAAAACCGTTTGTAAAATCCATTTGCCCCTAGTGTCTAAGCGGGAACGCATTATGATATGATATATAGTATATATGATATAAGGAAATAGATCTACACAAAAGCGTTTATACATACAGATTTATATATATACATATATCGGAACATATATACACACACACACATATATATATATATATATATACATCTTATATATATATATATATATACATATATAGAATATAGTATATATTTTAGTTAGTTTGTGTGTGTGTTTTTTAAACTCGTAAACCACGTAGTAGACGACCCGCGCATAGTATCAACAAATTACAAAGAAAATATAGAAATCTAGAAACAAGTTTAAGAGGAGGAGGAGGACAAAGAGGAGGAGGAGGAGTGTAGAAGGAGGAGTCCTGCGCTTCCTGCGCCCCACTGCCACTGCCGTCAAGTCAAGAATCAGAAACAGAAACAGAAACAGAATCATAGGAAGAACAAATAAATACAAAACACACATAGAGAGATCAGATCCGAGTGATATGTAGAAGATGATCATCCAACTGAATGCGAACCCGCGCTGCGCTGCACACAATCAAAAAACAGACACCAAAAAAAAACCCAACAAGTTAATTGTTAAAGTAAATATATTAATAAATGTGTAAAAAGAAAACAAAAACAAAACAAAAGCGATTAAGAAGTACGAAAAACAAAAACAAAAAAGATTATGCAAAAAACGAAGAAAAAAAAAGAATAAGGTAAAACAAAACAAAACAAAAACAAAAACAAAATACTTAAACATACTCAAGTCACAGGGCTCTGCCGCCGTATGCCTTTGTACTTTTAATGTATGGAACAATCGATTACGTAACGATTACGAATACGATTGCGACTTCGATAACGGAACCGTAACATGACGCTGCCTTCGCGCGCAGTCGCCGCGTGGTGGGCGTTGACGTGGACGCTTGACGGAGGAGAGCCGCACAGTGCGCGGGCGCAGCGGAGCCGCAGAAGAAAACAAAGTAAAATCCAGGAAAAATAACAACACACAGTAGCCACCAAAAAAAAAAGTGTAGAGTGTAGAGAGAGAGAGAGAGAGAGAGCAAGCTTGCAGTTTCTGTTTTTATTAGGTGTTTTATTTTTTTATTATTTTGTAAACCGTTTTACGATTTAAGTACAGTCAGCAGCGATGAACAAAGCCTGGGGAGAAAAGTGGGAGAGAGTGAAAAATCGATGTTCTTTTCGATTCATGCATGGCAAGCGATGGCGAAGTTTGAGAGGAGAGGTGGTAGAAGGTAGCGAGAGAGCGAGAGAGCGAGAGCATATTCCAAAACTATTTGTGATTACAATTATATATGAACCGAAATGGAGAGCAACCACAAAACGCATTAAGCATTACGCGAATCGAGAGTTAGCCCCTAGCCCCCTAAGAGCCTTAGTTTACACAAACAACGCTATATAAATACAAATCTTTATACATACATAGTTATATATAGTATATATACGATCATACAGACACATACACATACACCAACAACAACGCATGCGACCCGTATATGACAAGGAATTAGTTAAGGATCAACCGATTGTAAATTATATATGATGTGTGTGTGAGCATGAGAATGAGTGTCTCCGTCTAATGTCTAATGCAATGAATGAGGCCTCAAGATCATGACTAGAACATGGAAACTTTGCTAAAAACAGCGTTTATATATTACTATGCATATGAAAAATGTAATATCAAACAAAAAGAAAGAACAGGGAAACCTAACAAAAAAAAAACAACAAAAAACAAAGCAGAAGCAGGAATGCAAGGCGTGCAAGAAGTGCAAGAAGCGTTTAAGCCTAGTTAAGTCAAGTGTAAACCAAGCCTTAGTAAAAACTAGTTCTAACACGACAACAACAAAACAGAAAAAAAAAACACAAAAACCAACAAAACAAAAGAAACAAAAGAAAAGAAAAACAGCTAAAAACTATGGGTACGAGTAATATTAACAAAATGATTATGATGATAATGATTACGAATAATTATAGCGATTAAAGATGAATGATGATCGAAAGACGATCGAACCGTTGATAACTGATTGTATGTAAAATAGAGATGCGCTGATTACTGATGACAAAAACGATAAACAATTAGGCGATAGAGCAAGACGATGATTTGTGAGATGAGATACCGTTTTTCATTAATTTTAACGAAAAAAATACACCCTCTTAAATAAGTATATTGTATACATTTATCCATTGCATGATACAATTATATACACGTTTTTTTTACTACTATTACGATGATTACTATTATTATATATATATATATATATATATATATACATATATATATATGCATATATTTGTATTTGTATTGTATGATTATTCTAATTTTTTTCCACCAATCTCTATCTCTTATATTTAATTTAATTCCCCCTTATTTTTTGTCGTATGTCGTACCCCCTAAAAAAAATCACAGCAAACGAAAAAAAACAACAACAAACACCACTGTAATTAACTAAAAATACTTTGCTTGAAAGTGTAAAATAAATTAATTTAAATAAAAATTATGAAATTAAAATGAAAGAAAGTCTGTTTGTTTTTAATAAGATATAGTGGCCCATACCAGACAGCGGGGCTCTGCTGCATAATTCGTCGTGATAGCGGGTTGGATTGGTGGGAGTATAACTTAGGTGGTTCATCCACTGATTCCACCAATCAGTTGATTTCTATCGGAATATTAAATTAAGATTATATAAGGCACGGCACCCCACACCACACCCCTCTGATAACGGAACACACAAAAATGGTAGTAGCAGGCGATTGAATGCGAATGTCATTCCAAATCCAAGTGACACAATCCGATAAGGGATACCGTGGCACAGAGGGGGAGGAATAAACCGTACGATTCGCTGATTTACAGAGAGCACTATAAATGGTGTGGTGAGGACCGCTGTAATCAATGTGATTCACTGGCCGGCAATTGATTTACTGCACTTTGGGTCTCACTTACTTTCCTCCGTCAAACGATATTACCAGGCGGAAGTCGGGGGACGAGACGGGAGGAGGTTCTGTTCTGCACTGTTCAGCTGTTGAAGATCAAAGTCCAATACGGTTTATAAAGACCTGGGAATTATCCGTTAGCCGGTACTACTATCAAGTATCAATATCAACCCGTGCCATCGTCATATGAAACATCTATAAATAATGTGTCGAAAACACTTTCATAGGTTTCAAGTGCCACCGCAATTGACGTTCGTTTCGATATGTAGTCGATGAATAGTCGAATCGAGTCGAATCGAGTCGAATCGGATCGGATCGCATCAGATCTTTGATAGCCACAGGAGGGAAGCACAGCTGATGCCTTCAGTGGGGGTCGCAAGTCCAGTCCAGGCAATCAATCGATGGGGCGACCTTGCAAGTGATTATCTTCAAAACAATAAAAACACGAAAGACCCTCTTTCTCTCTCTCTTGCTCTTAGTATTTAATCTCAAGATTCTCAAGGTGAAGATGAATGAAGTGAAAATGATGACCAGACATTCTTTATTCTTTATGGCTATTTCCTGGGCTCGTAAAAAACGAATCCGCTTAATCACAGCAAAACCATAGCCAAACTAAAGGCTGTAACCACGTTAATCTTCCGATAAGATTGACTACACGATGTGGGTATTAAAATGGAAAAACTGAAGGACCCACCACCCAGCTAACACTCTTGTTGTTGTTCCCACGACACAAGACCGTCCACCGGGCACTACCATCCATCCATAGTACAATCGGATCAGAGCGAATCGTATCGGACAGTGGACAGTGGACAGTGGAATTCCTGAAGCTTTGCACTCGATTTCAAGTGACTGTCACATAAATTATCGATGTGCGAATACCAGCGACGCCAATAGTCGACTCACGCCGTTCACACTCGTCCCTAATGGAGGAGCGGCAAGTGCCGTGCCCCAAGTGCTCCCAAAGTGGATGGATGGCCCGGATCAAAGATACCGTCCCCACCAATTGACTAATACAATAAATGTCTCTGATTATCGATTTTTGTTGTTGCTTATAGCCCACACCTGAATGGGGTGATATGATTTGATTCGACTCTATTCGCTTCCTATATGCATACGGTAAATATCCGAGTATTATTATCATTTTTGTTGAGTTCCTGCGAATCTGATCGACGATTCTTGAGAAGTCTTTTTCGATGAGGGTTATTTTTCTAGGGTAGAATATTCATCACTTAATTAATTGATTTTCCAATGAATTTATTTTTCTATTTCATATTTTCTGATAGTTTACTTTTCTATCTTTATGTAAAGTATTCCCTACTTTCAGTATAGAATACCATCAGTTTCATCTATATCCTATCTTAAACTATTCTTACTTGAGTGTTTTTGCTTATACCATTCCATTTTATGAAGACCCTATTCAATATCCATTCTACCACATATCTCTACAGATCCCTAATCTTTTGTATTGGTTAATTTGTATGATGTTTCTTCTGAAGATGGTCAATATCAAAGATTTCTATAAAATAGTAATTTAAATATCCTCTCCTCTGGCCTTCATTTTATTACTTTGTTATTACTATTACTATGCCATCGCATTCCGTTCTATTACTTTTCATACTATAAAGTTCGCTCGCTCGCGAGTATCTCCTTCTACCCCCTTACCTTCTTCCAAAGCCTCTCAACCCCACGCCCTTTTCATATCGGCCTTGAATGTGGACTACCCTCGGATTTACCTCATCACGATATCTGCTAATATATCTCTGGCCAACCGAAATTATCCGATAATTGTCTGTTTCGCGCGTTCAAAGTCCCAAAAATTTTCAGTAATTTAATTAAACCAAATCTCGGTATGGTTCCGTCATTGGATCGGTGGTAGTTGGAGCCATTGCCATTATCGTTGCATGAACTGTCTGCAATCTTGGCCCAGAGATCTGGCGATTACTATTTTTGGCTTTGACATGAATTTATGGTCGCCAGGGACCGTCCATCCGTTTGTCCGTTCGCGCAGCCAAATCCGCCGGCTAAATCCATGCCGGAGAATGGAGACCGAAGACCTACACGAGAAACGCCAAGCCAGGCCAATAAGAACCAGATAAGACAGCACCTTGATAGTGTGGAGCCAATGCAAGCCAATTGATTAGGAGACGCGTTCTATCGTCTTATCGTTCGGAGTGCGGCTAAGAGAGAGACCGGTACCCCTACCTGTGCCTGTATCTATGTTGGAAATATTTATAGATCCCAGGGGCGGCTGGTGCTTGGTCATCGCCGGTGCTGGTGCCCGGTGTCGGCGACTCAAGTACCCCCACTCCACTCCCACTCGCACTTGCCCTGCCCACTGCCCACTGCCACAGCCACAGCCACTCCCCCGCCCAATCGATAGACTATAAAAGTCACCGATCCCGCCGATCGCCACTCAGTTCTCCATCCTTCCGCAACGCTGCGCGCGCGTACGAGCAGCAGTTCCACGAGATCGCAAACAGGATCCACACACTCCCGCAGGATTATGGGACGTCTCCATGTCCTGGCAGCAGCGCTGCCGCTGCTCCTGATAGCGGCGGTATCCGCTGAACCTTCGAACAACGACCTCCTCAGCGGCTACTCCACGCCAATGGAGGGCAGCATGGCCCACAAGTTCTTCGCTCTGGCCGCCGACCGGGCCATCCTTGCCAATGCCACCACCAGCCAAGTGTCGCGCAGCCAACGCGATGGCGATGATGAGGAGGATCATCCCGTGTACGACGACGATCTGTGCGACCGAGATTTGATCCGCATCCGGGACGCCATCGCCAACACCGAGGAATGGGCCCTCGAATGTAAGCTGGAAATGTGATGTGTGATGTGTGATTTGTGTTTTGTGTTTTGTGTTTTGTCATTTCAAGACATACGCAAAGTGAATGGACAGCAGTATCCAACGTATAAAGATGCATGCCTTGCTCTAGGCAGACCGCGCAGACCGCGATTTCTCTCAATTCTCTCACTGAAAATCGATCTTCCTCTTCGTATTACTCATTGATCGTTTTCCGTAGTTCGTAGATAATAATTTCAATGATAACAATTGTCTGACATTTGGAGCTTCATCAAATGGATGTCCTATATCTATATTCTTTCCTGCATGCTATCGCCCCTCAGTTCGCGTTTCCCCCTAGGCTACGGCTTGCTGTTACTCCTGAGTCTTCCAAATCTCATATTTCATGTATCCCTAATAAGATTTCAATGAAGAGCAAACTCTGTTCTCTCCTTTTTATCCCACGTTTATTACCCATTTTAATGGGTTCTTTCCAGCTCTTTCGTTTTCGCTTTTACGATGGGCTGTAAATTCAATTGTTATACTACCCTTAATCATCGCATAACAAATCAAAATTTGATTGTCCCCATTCTTTGGGTGGCAATTTCCGGCGATAAGATCTGGCTAATGGCATTCGGGATGGGATTACGATAAAGATCTCGAAAAACAGAAAATAAGTCCTTTTCTAAATGGTTTCCATTTGCATGCATTTTGCAATCATTCGATTCGATTCGATCGTATTTCATTTTCTATATCGATAGAGTACCCCGCCGTCCAGTAATTGTACCAAAGAGTGCATTTTATGGGGTCAATAAATCAGTGAACGTTATGCAAGAAAACACCGGAGGAGGCACCTTCTGGTTAATTGCACAATATAATCGTGGAAGTTTTGGGAAAAACCAGAACCTAATCTCGCTCCTGGCTATCGCTGCAAATCCCCAATGGCCCCGCCTGCATCGATATCGATAAGCATGGCGATATAGTCCAGATTTGTCCATGGTCTTTTGTGTGGGGTGGTGAGATTAAGCATGGAGACGATGACGACTCACCCTCTGTTCTGTTTCTCTTTGCAGTTCCTGACACTTGGGGCCGCCTGCCCATGGGCCTGTTCTGGGGCCACACGATCAGCATGGGGCAGTACGAGGAGTGCGTAGCCGCCACCAACACCTACGGGGACGAGATCCGCGGGCAGTACTGCCTGGCGACCCTGAACATCACCATGTTCTACAAGGATGTCAAGAAACGAGGCGAAGAGTTCCAATCATCGCGCATCAGCTACAAGCAGACCGATCCCGAGATCTTCGAGCTCGGCATCTGCATTCCCAGCACCTGCAAACCCAAGAAGACGGATGCCCTGCTCAAGGATGTGATCAGCCACTTCTATGGCGGCGATGTCGTCGCTATGGATGTCGATATGGTCACCCAGACCCGATGCAAATACGATGCCCCCATCACACTGCGAGGCATTGATATATTTGCCATGTAAGTGATAGATTTTTAGATGGGACAATAGAACAGAAGGGAGAAGAGAGATTTCTCTGTGATTTTATAGATTTAGATGGGAGGGAATGGTGAGATAAAGTATTATTATTATGCAAAGCCGAAGGGCCACCGTTGTTGCGATAGAGAGATTTCTCTGTGGAACAGATGTTGAATAGGTAATCCGGAATCAGGAAGTTTTGGCAAAATGCCAAATCAAAAGTGGAACTGAAAATTGAGAACAATAGGCCCATTCCCAGATAAGATAACAAAGAGAATTGAAGTACCGTTCTTGGACTGTGATAAGAGTCTACCTTAGAGTAGAGTAGCTTTTCTAATTAATTAAATCAATCAATGGAGTGGAATTGATTGTGTATTGTATATTTATCCTTCATTCCTTTCGACAGCATCTTCTTCTCGACAATTGTGTTCTTTATGATTGCCAGCAGTGTCTACGACTATATACAGACCCGCAAAAAGGGTAAGGCAATCATCCAAATCATACTCTAGAGAATTCTCGTGCTTATGAATGACCTTGTTTTTTGTTGTTTTGTTTTGATTTTATTGTTGTTGTGTAGCTCCCAAGAGGCCACTTCTGATCGCCTTCTCTGTGCTGCACAATGCCCCGAAGATCTTCACGGTGAAGAAGGTGAACAATCCGAATGTGATCCACTGTTTGAACGGCCTTCGTTGCTTCAGCATGATGTGGGTGGTGTTCGGGCATGGCTACATGACTTTCTACGACCTGCCGCACATCAATCGGAATAAATTCTACACGTGGGTGGAGACCCCCTACTCGATGCTCGTCCAGAACGGATCCCTTTGCGTGGACACGTTCTTCTTCATGTCCGGTCTGCTGATGTGCTGGGGCGCCTTCCGTGAGCTGGAGAGAACGAAGGGCAAGCTGAACATACCGATGATGTACTTCCATCGGTATATTCGGCTCACACCGGTGGTGGCCGTTGTGGTGCTGTACATTATGTCGCTGTACAAGTACTCCGGCGAGGGACCCATGTGGTTCAAGCTGGGCACCCAGGACAAGCGCTGCGAGGACTCCTGGTGGGCGACGCTCGTCTATATCCAGAACTATGCCTACCCCTATCACATTGTGAGTGTCGTGTCCAATCTCTGAAACTGAAGCTCTGAACCTCTGGAACTGAAAGTCTGAATCTCTCTCTGAATTTCTAGTGCGTGTCACAATCCTGGTATCTGGCTGTCGATACGCAGCTGTACTTCCTCTCGCCCCTGTTCCTCATTCCGCTGTGGAAGTGGGGCAAGAAGGCCCTAATACCCATCTCGATCTTCGGTCTGATCTGCCTTGCCGGAACCTTTATCACCTTCATGCTGGAGGACTTCACCCTGTTCCGCGTGCAGGACGATCATGTGGATCTGCGGCAGAAGATGACATACTATCCCACCCACACGCGCATACCCACGTGGCTGATTGGCGTGATCTTCGGCTATTTCCTGTTCACCCGCAACCGCGGCCGCCAGATCCCGCTGGCCAAGGTCTGGGTGGTCATTGGCTGGACGGTGGCCTTCGGCACCATGCTGGCGGATATGTGGGGTCCCTACTGGCGCATTCTGCCCGGAACACCCAACTCGCCGCTGATCGAGGGCGCCTTCTTCGAGCCGCTCAGCCGCTCCTCCTGGGCTCTGTCCATCGGATGGATCGTGTGGGCCTGCTACAACGGACACGGTGGCCTTATCAACGACTTCCTCTCGTGGAGCTTCTTCACAGGCTTCAGTCGTCTCACCTACTGCATGTACGTCATCCATCGCATCGTCCAGCTGGTGAATGCCGCCCGCCTCCAGACCGACACCCATTTCTCTAACTACGATGCGGTAAGTGTTTCTCTCTCTCGGCTCTCTCTGCTCTCCCTCTTTACCCTTTCGAATCTCTCGCTTGCAGATTCTTCGCTGGTGGCATGACTTTGGCATCACCCTGACGGCCTCCATATTCGCGACGCTGGCCTTTGAGGCCCCCATCCTGGGCATCGAGAAGGCCATCTTTGGTGGCTCCAAGGCGCCGCCCAAGAAGCCCTCGCCCGGCGATCTGGCCAAGAGTGCCGCCCCGGAGGTCAAGGAAGCCGCGCCTACCGCCTCTGGCCCTGCTCCTGCCCCTGTCAGTGGAAGCCCTGCTACAGTGGAGACTGAGGCAGAGATCACGCCCTCGCCCGGAAGCACCACCGAGGAGCTTTCAAAGGTTTAGATCCCCTGAGCAGGGAACAGTGAAACAGCAAACACGAACCAATTTTTTTTCTTGTATTTAGTTAGTTTTATTTATTAAAAAATATTAAAAAGAAATATCGTTTGAATTTGGCGCCAGTCACACTGTACTGCAACCATCCGATACTATCGGTGTCTTCTGTTTTGAAAATTTAGCTTTTCACCTATGGTATATAAATCGATCATGAATGGTCTGTAATGGTTCTCATATGATTTTAGTCAATTAAAGGTCGTACAATATAAAAGCTGATTAAAATATGCTTGTGACGTTCACCGGTAGTAGAATTTTGCAGAGAATATCGATGTAGTAAACAATCGAAAACGATCTTGGTATATTAAGGTTGCCCTTGTCTGCCATTGTATTTTATGGTCCGGCTTTACATGCCCTGCGCTCGTACATGTTCGGTTGCAACTGCAAGAACTAGTCAAAATTAAGTAGTCGGGGTGGTGTGGGATGTAAATGTAAAACGGCGCGAACAACGGATGACGTAGGCTTTTCACACTGGCGCTTCCATGGGGTTTATATGAAAGAAAAAACGGGCAAAAATTACTGAAACGTACACAAAGGTGTCGCTTTTGGTAATTACCTAAAAATGTAGTTAATATGTAGCAAAAGTGTACTTAGCGCGTTACCATGTCAAGAAATGAAGTTAGTGGAAATTGCTGTTGACCGGTTTTGCTTAAACCTTATTTTATAAGCAATGCAATCAAGATGCAAACTTAAATTTAGCTATTCTTGTAGGAAACCGATTTAATAATCGGATAAAGCTATGAGTTCTGAGCTCATGGTCTTAGCTAGCTGGTAATATTCAGCCGAATATCAAAAAGGATGGAATATTATGGAACTTGAATACAAATAATTCGTCAGTATATTTTGAAAATCGTGACGTATTTCGGTATATTTCTGAGGGTCTGACCGTATATCTTATCGATAAATCCTCACACTGTATGCGGTGTAAATGTTAAACGGCGCGAACAACGACAACACAACAGTGTTGTTGTTGTTGAAACAACACACAAATAAAGCGAATTTTTTTCTAAGTTACGAAAAGTTATGATTATACCGCAGAAATATTTTCGCCTAAAAGAATATCGCCAACAAATATAATATCACACAAACATATATATCAATATTCAATATATCAATAATGGCGTCGGAGGCAGAACAACAAGAATTTGTAAGTGTTGCTCGAAACAAAATTAAAATTTAAAATTGTTATTCATTTCGAAAGGGTACAATTGAAATAAAGTGACTCGCCTGCGTGACTGCGGGGGTAAATATGCCTGCTCCAAAGCGATTTGCAGGCGTTGCCACAAACAGAACACAAAAAACAACAAAGGAAGGAAAAGACTACACCGAAATTTTTTGCGTGCGTGTTTTCAACCTGTATTTCTTTGCTGGTATTTGTGTGCGTGAGTGTGCGGGCTTAGGAGTGTGGGTGTGTGTGGAAATTTCGTCAGAGTGGTGCAGGCGAGTGCGTGCGTGTGTGTGTGTGTGTTCGTGCCGCTATTGCATCTTCGAGTGCGTGGTCGTTTGTGTGTGTGTGCCTGTTTATGTTTGCCAACACGTGCCGCCTCCTGTCTAACCAGGCATCCCATACCTCCCACACTCTGGAACTCCAATGCACCGCAATTCCAATTCCCATTCCTGTTCCAGTCCCAGTAACCCCACCCCTCTCCTCTTTCGATCGAGGCAGTGGCACACTGTTATCAGCTTATAATCGTAACTGTAACCCTGCTGCCGTGTGTGTGTTTTTTCGTGAGTGTGTGCCTGTGTAAGTGTGCGCGGGTCTCGCTTCATTAGGGAAAGTGATTTCCGGGGCTGTGTGTTGCAAGCAAGGGCCACAGAAACCAGTTTCGGCCAACAGGCGGCAGAGGCCCAGGAAAAACGCTTTCCCTTTGCCAAATGCCTTTTGTGGTGTGCTGCTGCTGTTACTCTTTCTTCTGGCCCGTCTGTCTCTCTATGTTGGCCAATTGTGTTACCATTCCGTTGCACAAATCTTTGTGCCCAATCCCTCACCCACACTCACACACACACACACCCTTGCACATACAACACGAACATGTAAACAGGCAGAAAAACACAAAAACACACAGACAGCTGTTGGCGCGGGTTCATTGTTTGTTTAATCGCCCCGCCAAAGGGTATGGAGAAGGGGGGCGGGCATGAAAATATTCGGAATGAATCTTCGTTGGAAATACGTTCCCCTCCCAAATAAAATTGCTTTAAATATGTAAACCGTAGGGGGTGTAGGGGGTGGGGAGATGGAGGGATACGTTTCCAATATTCGCACATTTTGGAAAGATTTTCTGTTTTATAGAGATACACATCTACAAATGCATGTACATACGTATGTACATAGTATGTATGCCAACCAGAAGAAGGAGAGCAATAGAGGGTATCTCACAGTCTTATGTACAGCTTCTGTGATTGTTTTTCTTTTTCTCTTTGCTGCGGAAATTTACTTAGATTTTCCATTTCCATTTGCATTTTGCCCGAAACGAATCGGAAGCTCTGATGCTGAGGCTGGTTGTCTTTTGTTTATGTTTTTCCCACTGATCATTTATTTTTGTTCCATTGAAGTGTTCCCCTCTCTCGGCCAGCTTTTGCGCAAAAACCCCATAAACTGTTGCCTTCCTAGTTCTGTGGAAGTCTTGTGTTTGTATTTGCATCTTGTATCTCTGGCCCCGAAAATGTTCATTCATTTAAATTTTTGCAAAAGGTACAACAATGGGACGGGAGCGGAAGGCAGGGAAGGGGGGGAGTTATAAGGTTTTTCCGAATAATGATTCCAATTACAAAGTTCCGTGGAAAACGATTGCCATGCGGATGGACTGCCTTCCCTGCCTTTTGCCACGTTCGTTCTTTCGGGTGACCCAACGGGAAATTAATACGGAAACCCTCTCTACACGGACCACCTGAATGTGGGGGAGATTTACCTTTAAGAAGGAAAACACATATGTACATACTAAGGCTCGTATCTCTCACATTCTCGACTGAGTATTTATCTTCACTCGTGCATGGAAATGTATCTCATGAATAGAATATTCAATTAACTATATCTTTCTCACTGGCATATCCCTTTCTTGATTATGTTGTGTGTCATCCAGGGGGGGCAGGGACCCTCTCCTCGCCCCGCCATTCCCGTCATTGTATTTGCATCAATTTGCGCTTGTTTCCGTGTGTGGCGTGTGTTTATGGGTATGGCACAAAACACAATTGATTTCGCTTGAATTGACATTACAGACTACAAATTGTTGCATTTTCATTGTTGCACATTTGCCAACTTTTGTGGATGGCACCCGACACCCCCACCCCACAGCACACCACACGACTGCCTGCCCCACTGTCTGTTTGCTCAGTGCATAAATCAAATTGCTCATAAAAAGTGCAGACACTCGGGCAGCAGCAGCAGCAGCAGCAGCAGCAGCAGCAACCACACTTCAGCCATCGCTGCCTCTGCCTCTGCCTCTGGCTCTGCCCCTCTTTGTGTGCACACAAATAAATTTATTCGGCGTCGTGTGTATGTGTGTATTCCACTAAATAAAGCAATGGCAGGGCAGAGGGGGGAGTGGGGGGATTCCCCTCTGGCTCTGCCTCAAAAACTTATGAAATATTTGTATCCTGGTTCTGTTCGCTGGCTGCCCTTTTTGGGCTTGCCCTGAATTTATTATAGTATCCTTACGGACGGGATGGGGGGGGGGGGGGCACAGTACAATGAACCACGGGGAAGGCACGGGGCATGGAGCATGGGGCATGGCATGGCAGTGGTACAGCCTGTTGCTGTGCCCTGAGGTTTCTTCCCATTTCTTTTCTTCCTCATTTGCGTTGATTAAGCCGCAAGGGCTGCCACCGCAGATAGCAGCAGTGGCAGTGGCAGAAACGGCAACAGCAGTGGCAGCCACAATAACTTTCATTAAAAACAAAAAAAGGCGAATAAAAGTAACAATAAATAAAAAGAGAATGAGAATGAGAATGGAACACACAACTGCGTTGTGCAACGAAAACACACATGCGGAGGCAGCCGCACACACACTCGTGTGTGTGTGTTTTTGTGTGTGTGTGAAAATGGGTCAGGCCCAATGCACTCTTATCAACAGTGAAACACCAGAGAACAACCCAGTAACAAACAATCAGAAACAGCAGAAGAACCACAAAACACCCGAACCACCCACCAACCCACCAACCCAACAGCGATCCGAAACGGAACCAAACCAAAATCAAAACTGGAACACAGGGTTCAACGACACGGAGAGAGAGAGCGAGAGCGAGAGGAGCCCTGGAGCTCTAGGCCTATCCTATCCAAAATGAAAGAATAAAAGGGGACCAAATGCAGAAGAATGCAGAATACTAGGAAGGAAATGGAGTGTTTTTCCCCAAACAATAAAAAGAAAAACCCTTAAATCCAGAAATCCAGAAATATGTACCATGAAATATACTGATATATATACTGAAAATATATAGCTTAATGGTAATAGTCGTAGAATTCTGGAAGGAGTACAAATTATAACTTAAAGATTACCCTGTTTGCGCGTCACGCGGCCCTGGAAAGATATCGACGTAAATGTTGTTATACCCGATACTCAAGAGAAGAGAAGAGGATTTAATGTGTCGGCTCCCGTGATATCCTACTGAATCAAGTTTGCTTCAACATTTTGGCACCATACCACCCCACAAAAGGCGAAAATCACGCCCCCATGATACAAGAAAACCGAGAAAGCGGAATCATAGGGAACGGCCATATCTACCAGGTTGTCGAATCTGGAACAGATCTGATCATTATAGTAGCCAGAGGGAAGAACTGAAATTGCTACCTGAAATGGCCCGGCTACCCCCAGCCACGCGCCTACTCTTCTCTCTCTCTCTCTCTCTCTCTCTCTCTCTCTCCCTCTGTCTCTGTCTCACCCACTCTGCCTCGTGGTGTTGGTGTGCGAATAAGAAGCTCACATATCCCGCTCTTTAGGGAAAAGTCATCCCAGCAAAAAGAGGGGTATGTGGAAAAGAAACGCTATCGACGCTATTGTTGGAAATGTTTATTTATACAAATTGTAGTCTAAGGCATATCTTGATTGCATTACAATTAATAGTTATAGCCAGAGCAACAGGGCCGCCTTCGGGCTGGAGATGGAAGTATTGCTCCTTCTTATACTAAGTGCCTCTGCATTCGATTATAAATTATGCTTAAATATAGAATATAGTCTGTAACGATGCTTGTTGATTGCCTACTGAGAGCGCAACGTACGAGTGCTCGTGTGATTACAATAGAGTAGATATACCATGTGCAGTAGCTACATATACATACATATTATACTCGCCAGTGTATTCGCACTTTGTGCACTACAATATAAACAGTATGCACGGGCATGTACTACATATGTATATGGTATACTATATACCATTTCATAGTCGGAAATTGCGTTGTAGTGCTCTCGCCCTCGGGGAAACTTCTTTCGGGGCTATACCCCAAAAGAAAAGAGCTATAATTATTGCAGTGCAACAATAGTCTGTCTGAAGTCTTTGTCCATTTCTGGTTTCTCTTCTGTTTTATCTTCGGGGATCTTTTGTAGACCAATTCGAATTTAGAATCCATTCAACAATCCCCAATCCATATCCAATCCAATTCGTTGCAATCTGAATTCTGAATTCTGAATTCTGTCTGGGATCTGTTCGAAATGGGGAGGGGAGGACAGTGCCTGGGCCGTGGCTATATTTATAGTTAATTGAACTCTATAAGCACTTTGCCGGCCACAATTGGCTATCAAATGTCGCCGGTCGCCGGCCGCCGGCCAACCTCTCCCTATCCCCTGCTCTGCTTCCGCCTGCAATTGTTGGCTATAGCCTGTTGTTTGGGGCCTCTTCCCCAGGGAGGCGCCACCAACGAACCACCCACTTAATGGACATATTGCTTCCGAAGTGGGTCAAATATATGCCGCCTGGTGCCTGGTGCATGGTGCCTGGTGCATGGTGCCTGGTGCATGGTGCCTGCTGCCTGGATGCCTGCTGCATGGTTTAATCACGGCAGGGATCTCTTCTGGTCCAAAGTTTATTACGATTTTCCCTTTATTTATGCATAATTGGAGGAACTATTGCGATGCGATGTGTGGGCGTGGCAGTGGGCGCTGTGGATAGTGGATAGGGGGATAGGGCAATGTATTGTTGTTTTACCATCATTCCTCTCTTCTCATTCGCTTCTATCCCAATCCGTGGCTTCTCTGTAGGAGGTTGTTGAACCCCACACACACACACACACACACACATATGTATGTACGTGCATGTGTATGGGAGGAGGGGCCTCGACCGGGCGAGTGGCTCTCAGAGAATCGCGAAGCGGAGGCTGCCGCTGCTGCTTCTACTGCTTTTGGCATGGATTTGACGTCGTTGGCTTCTTGCTGCTTCTGCTTCCGCGATGATGCCCCCCCATCTCTACCTCAAGCAGCAGTAGCAGCAGTACACGGAGAACAGTAATTCTTGTCTAAAATAAATAATATTTTATCTGATAATCTATCGTACAGCAATCCTAACACAAAGGAAAGGTTCTCACTGCAAAAATATACCCCAAAAATTATGAAAAAATCCAACAAATTTATCGATAAAATCATGTGAAAGTAATCGATACTTCAGAAAGTCTTTGATTTTGCGATAAAACATTGGCAAGATGCCAGAAACTTGTCGATACTTCAATAACATGATGGATTAAGTACTAGAAAGTCATCGATTTGGCGATAAATCGATGGAAGTGGAAGCGGAAGCCATAGTTCTTTACTTCATTCGATTATCTCTTTGAAGGCACCTCTCAAATATTGTTCCATGAAGCCTCCGCCCCGGCTGTGTGCTCTTAGGTGTACTTATCTAGTGCCCACTGTACTACTATCGCTGATTTTCCTGCGAAGTTCTCCTACGTTCTTTTTGTCTGGCTTTCTTTTCGGGGTCGGTCGGTCGGTCGGTCGGTCTCTTTTTCTTTGTATACAAATCTGTAGTTTCTAATGCGGGGTCCCATTGTCTGGTGGACTCTTCATTTCCGCCTCTTCTTGTTGCTGTCGCCGCGTGCTCAAGTCTCTGTTGCAATATTCTCTCTCTCTCTCTCTCTCTCTCTCTTTCTCTCGATGGCATTTGCAGTCTAGTGCAGTGCTAGAGTGTAGGGTTAGGGCTTTGGCCTGACAATGACGTGGACATCGCATCACATCACATCACATCACATTCTCTACCGAAATCCGGATCCCGATCCCCATCTCATCTCATTCTCAATCCCATCCACAACACTTTCCAATGCCGCGGGGCCTGGCTCCAAACCAGAAAGCAGCACAAAAAGAGCCCTCGCTCTTAGCGAGAGGCGAGAGTATAGGGCATTGTGGCTATATATACATATGTATGTACATATGTATATATATTTTTTTTTGCCTTTTTGATTGGTTTGACCGATTTACATTGTGCAAAAGAAATGAGTTTCAAGAGGCAGGGGGGGGGGAGGGGGGAAGAGGGGGGCAACGGAGCGAGGGCGAGCTTAGATCTAGCTTCGCAGTGAAGAGCTTTTTAATTTTTCTGTCTGTTGGCCTACATGCTGGTCCCCCCTCCCATCAGCGGGCTCTGGGGCTGGCTCTAAGTTTCTTTTGACATTCCATTCGGGGGCCTGGGGTCTCTGTCCATCTCCGGTGCACACACACACACATTTCTGATAATTAAAATGGCAACCATTCGCCGCAGCTTCTGCTTCTGCTCCTGCTTTTGGCAGAATGCCCATGGACCTAACGGGACACATTATGTTACATAGAATAAGCGAAATTGGAAACAAATCTGGGATCTGAATGGCGGGGCCACTCAAAGAACCTGGAACGACCAGGAAGTAGCTCTCTCCATACCTCCTGCTCTGTCGTGGGTTCTATAATACTTGGTACTACTTTTAGTTTTAGTCTAGAAAATGCATGTGTAGAATCTCGGGTCTTTGCTTTGGATAATACATGTATTGGAGTGGTATCCATTAGTTTTACGATATCTCTACTAGAACTAGATTGGATTCGATCTAGTCAGAACTGAGGAACAGCCTACTCTCTCGTTCTCTGCGTCAGACATATCCAGTATGTATCCTTCTGTGATTAGTATCTTCGCTGGAAAGCAAGAAATATCTGAAATTGCTTCTGAAAGTTCTGTTATGCGTCGAGAATGACATAATAAGTAGAGTGTTGCTCCACGGTGGTCACGTCCCAACCGACCTCGGAAATGTGTCGCATCATCGGGCGGTCGGTCCCCAACCCCAACCCCACCCCGCCCCTCCTCCACTTTGAAAGTTGCGTAATGGAGTGCTGCGTTGCGTCGGACAGCAGCTCTACTAATCCCATTTTGGGGGAGCACTTTCTAAGCGGCACGGAACGGGGGCAGCACAGCACAGCGCGCGTCGCGTCGCGTCTGTCCTCTAATTTGTGGATCAAAACTCGTTTTGCTGCAGGGCTGGCTGCGAAATGTTGTGTTTGTTGTGGAAAGAAAGAAAAGAAAAAAGAAATGAGCATAAATGATGTGATTTCTTTTCGATGCGATGCGATGCGCGGATTTGCCGTGTGTAAACGCATCGAAAAGAAAGTTTTTCTTTTGGCTTTGAAATACTCGCGTCCGTACGCGTCGGTCGTACATGCTTGGATGGAAGCTTGGCAGCAGCTTTTGTCTTGTCTCAATGTCACGCCCCCAGGCCCCACCGAGGCCACAGAGGCCCCAGACAGACAGACAGCTTCAGCGGCGAGCATTTTGCTTCAATAATCGAGCGCAGTGCCATAAGAAAGCGTAGTAATAATCGTAATAATAAACAAAATAATGGCAATAATCATAAGTATGAGCGAGACAAACCCAATCCCGTCTCCGAACCTCACTCTCCTCGTACACATGGATGTGGATGTGGCTGTGGGGATATGGATGAAGAGCACAAGTGAAACTTTTCCAGCGACACTCGAAACTGTGGCGAAATTTCTTAACACTTTCCCATAAGAAGTCATAAAGGCAGGAGAGCGAGCGCGCGGTAGAGAGAAGGAAGAGAGCAGCAGTGGAAAATAGAATAAATTAAATTACGAGCACAAAAGCTGTTCAATGAGCCATGCCCTGCCCTGGGGAGAAGCTTGAGATTTTAGCAGTTGTTTTTGCAACAGGAATACTAATGGTATTCCAGAAAACTAATTAATGTACTTGTAATCAAATAAATCTAAAGCTGAGCCACAACTGTTTATGGAAACAGCTGTTTTATAGGATTAGAAAACATATGAACAGATGTGTTTTGTATGCGAGCCTGTCTTACGGCTCCGACGGGAATACGATCAACAGCGGCATCCCCTTACAAGAATCAGTCACTCTCTCGGCTCTCCTATCTCTCTCTCCCTCGCCCAGCTCCAGCTCCACCGCTGACATTGAACTGTGTCAGTGGCAGTGGCAGTGGCAGTGGCAGCGGCAGAGTGCACCAAAAACAATGAACAGCAGGCTGTCGGCTGTAAAGGGGCGGTCGGGCTGCTGCTGCGTCGGCGCCCGCCGCCTCGTGTGCGCGATCGCTCTCTTTCTTTCGCCTTACTCGCTCGAGTCGATCTGCCCAAAGTGCATTAATATAAGGTGAACCGCTTTTGAACCACTCTTCGAGTCGCATATCTTCTCACCACTCTCTCATTTGCCACCGCGTTGTGCGAACGCACGAGCCAGCAAAAAAAAAACATAGATATATATCTACCCTGCACCATGTGTGCGAGTGGCTAACCTTCCATCAATACACCTTGGAGCCGAGAGCCTCTGCTCTTGCGCAGCAGCGACGCGACTGGCTTGGCACGGTACGGCAGCGGCAGCGGCAAAGGCGATGTTGTTTGTGCCGTTGTTTCATTGTTGTTTCGGTCGTCGCGTGTTCATCTCTCTCTCGTGTCTTTTTCTTTTTCGGGGACGATCGCGCGCCCTCTTTGGTTTCACGTTTTCCACTCACGGGAGGAGAGAGCATGGCAATATGTTCTAGTTATTAAATATATCCAATTTTATTTATTTATTTTACTGTGCTGGTGTGTGTGTGTGTTCAGTGTTTCGCGTGTGTGTGCGTGTGTGTGTCTATGTAAAATGTAGCAAAATGCATCGACGCCAGCAGAACAAGTACCAGCGGGAATCTAACGACGATTGCAGTGACAGCAATAACAACACCAGCAGGAGCAGCAGAAACAACGGCTGTCATCATCGCCTCTTCCTGTGCTTTTCCAAGGTGTGTGTGTGTGTGTGTGCTCTCTCTTTCTATCCATCGTTTGCCATGCCCATCCCTCCTCTTATGTACTTTCTAAGTTTTATCTTCTCTCAGTTTGCTTTTTTGCTTTCGCCTCCCCTGCATCCATCTTGTCCTGCCCTGCACCTCTCGCTCGTTTTACTTTTTTCGCTCGCTTCATCGGGCTGCTGTGTGTTGTGCACTGTCCCCCTCTAGCTCTTCCGCTCTCCGGCTCTCACGCTGTGCTGCTACTGTTGCTGCTGCACTTCTGCTGCTGCTGCTTTTGGGCTATTTATAGACTAACTTTATTAGTTTTTGCTGTCTTCTCCTTCTCCTTTTTCGCCTCATCTCAAGTCCCAAGCTGGACTTTTAGCTCCCCCTCTCCACTGTCGGTGCATCTCTGCTTCTGCTTCTGTAGCTGCTGATGGGTCTTTGAGGTGCTTTCCCGCTTTGCTCCTCTGCCATGGAGGAGAACAAACTTTGATGTTTATTAGGGGTATTCATGTTAACGGAGTACATACATATGTACAATAATCCCATCTTGTAACCCCACGGCTGTGCTGTGCATTTCCATATGAAAATATCATACGTTTCTTTGATTAAAGAAATTTCCATCAATTTGTATACACTGGTATGTAAGATCCGGTTCCATAGCGGTTCCAGCAGCAGCAGCTGTTTGGCTCGGCTCTGTTGTCACTTTCTGGGCTCTTCCTTCTTTTGCCAAGTTCCGTTTTTGGCTTCAATTCCGTTTCGGATTCAGATTCAGATTCCGATTCCGATTCGGACACACAGATTTAATATGCAAATGGGTGTGGAAGACCATAAACCGTTTGAGCATCATCGCAGCAGCGGAGACGGAAAGCGCACACTGCGAAGAGAGGATTCCTCTCCCCCTACCCACTAGCCTCTCTTGTGCTCCGTTCGGTTCCCCAGCTTTTGCCCTCTTCTCGAACCGACTCTCAATTGGCAACCGGCGACTGCCTGCCCCTCGAGCAGAAGTGTGTTAAACGTGGGCTTAAAAAAATACCCATTCGCATTTCCAAAGCATTTCCAATGCGAAAGTGTGAAAGGAAGTCCCCCTATCCCCTGTCCCCCTGTCTGAGCCCTCCACTGTGCTCACTTCTCGCGCTGTGCATTTCCTGCTGCTCTGTGGCTGTAAAAAGTGCGGCCAATATTCATTCTCCGACAACAATCTGTCAGCAATATCCTGCATCCTGGGCTCAGTGAAACGAGGAAATTGTCTGTACAAAAAACATTAAAAAGGTAGGAGCGGGAGTAGGAGCAGGAGCGGGATGAGTAATGGCTATAGCAGCAGAGAGAGGATTCTGTGGATTATCCGAAGCTTAAGCTTCCATTTTTCCATTCTTCATCAATCACTACGATTAAGTATCTTGTATCTTTCGCCAAGCATAACTGTGTCTTTAGTCTGTACCTCTCTTGAGAGTGTCTTTCCAATCGCTGGCTGATCGTTGGGTTTCAGAGCAGAGCCAGAGCCGGAGCCAGAGCCAAAGAACGGCTGTCATGCTCCTCGGAGTCCGTTAAAAGTCTCCATCCATCCATACCTCCATATCGCGATCTACTACTATCTCTATCTCTATCCAAGTCTCTAAAGTTTTACAGTTGCTCAGAACCGAACCGAACCCCAGCGCAGAACGGAACGGAACTGATGTCGCGTTTTGTGCTTTTACTTTGCATGATGCATAATGGTACAGTTATGAGTGGATGCTGGAACAAACAGAGAGATAGAGATGAAGACGGAGGGAGAGATGGCTGGTGGTGAAGCAGGGACAGGGGTAGAAGTAGAGGTACTCTTGTTGTTGCTCTATTAACTTGCTCACGTTAATGGCTAAGATATTTACGAGATCCAAGGCAGAATGAAAACTACTGGAGAGAACCGGAAGTGACTTGTGACTGGTGCCTTCCCTCACCTCCTCTTTCCCCTCTACTCTACATACGAATCTTTTGTTTATCTTTTGGTGTTTTTGTTTTGTGAATCAAAAATCGTTATTTTCCTTCTGTGATATTTATAGATTGTTTGGGGTTTAGGCTCCTTAAAATTAGCTCTGCTTTCCAGGAGGCTTACTCTGAACTGGAACTGGCTCCGAAAAGAGCTGTGTTCCAAGTAGGTCTTCCTATGGACTATTTTTGTTTATCATCTCTCTGATATAATCGTAATCAAGAAAGAAAAATTAAAGGACAGAATCGGTAGTTGGAGGAAACTCAGGTTCCAGTTCAAGCCGCAGTGGAATATGACCCCCCATTGACCCCTAGGCCAACAGAGGGGTGACACATCCCATGTCTGCCCCTGCCCCCAGTTAACTCGAAAAAGCGTACAAATTCAAGCAGCATTCCAATCGCACCTCCAAAGACTCCAATGACAGGATCGATCCGACTGTGTGTCCAAAAACTGGAAAGATAAAGAGCAGTGGAGAGGAGGTGGGAACGTTAGCCAGAAAGAAGGAAACCCTGCCATTCCATCATCCGATGAATGGGATGATGAGGCCCCCGCGATAACCGATAATGTATTCCGTTGAAAGAAGGAACGGAACGAAACGGAACGAGAGAGATGAATGTGAAAACACGCGAAAGTGAACGAAATGGACAAAAAGTGGTGACGCATCAACGTCCCACTCCCCTCAGCACTCCGCTCACCTTCCGTTCCGTTCCGTTCCGCTCCGTCCATCCATCCATCATCTCTCCATTCGGGCGATCGAAATCCGCTTCGGAGGAATTCCACCCGCTCACAGTGGGCGTCGTCGCACATATACCGATGAAAATAATATCTAAGGGCATTCTTCGAAGTCCCAAGGAGCCTCGAAGATAAACGAAAATTGAAATTCACACGAATACAATTTGATCGACAACAGTCGTAGCTATCTATCTATCTATCTTTTTGTATCGCTTGTCGAACAACTAATCAAACATTTCAGGGATTTTATCGCCCATCTGGGGCCACTGTGCCCCGGCTAAAGGGTGACATATGGTAGCATCAGCAACAGCGACGGTGGCTCACGTCTCACGCATGACTCAAATTGTTGGTATGCCCCTCCAGCGACAACCTGGCGTCCGTCTTCTCTGCTGCTGCCGCTGCCTCTGCCACCGCTGCTGCTGCTGGCGTCTAATGGTTCTTGGAATTGCCGCATACGCAGTTCTGCCGCAGTGCTGCTGCCGGGAACCCTTTAGCCAACAAAACAGCCAGAAAATAGCTGGAAAAGTGACCCCGAATGAAGCTTAAGCTTTAACCGACTTTTGCTGCTATAAAAAGCTCTACAAAAGCTTCGACGCCGCAGCTTTGCCTCAGAGAAAGCTACGAATAAACCGACCATTAGTACAATTATTTTTATAACTGCAAAAGCGATCTGCCTCAATAGCAAAAAAGATTCCATGATCTGGCTTTAAATCAGCCAAAACGGCATCTCTGCTGCTGCTGCCAGCGGAAGAGTGTACTGAGCCAAGCGCTGCAGCTGCAGCAACGCTGCTGCTATCAGCCGATGACGACGACGACGACGACGACGACAGCGACGATCGAAGTGCCGCCGCCGCCGTCGTTCGTCGTCAGTAATGGGGAAAGCTTTGAACACAACGGAACGTCGCGAATAAAGAGAGAAACAAGAGAACAAAATAAATTAAAGAACAGCCAGGGCAAAGCGAAAGAAAAGCGAAAGAGGAAGTGATAAGCGGGGGATATATTGTGTTGTTTTTGTGTGTGTGCTTTCGGTTCTCAACTGGTGAATGATTTGGTACCGATCCTCTGAATAAACCCACGGATACGATAAAATACGATACGATACGATACGATACGATGGTTCATCTTTACCAGCGACGTCACAGCCGCGAACAGGTGGGTGGAGTGGACAGGAGAACCGGAGATCCGTTTCATTCCAGGCGGCACGCGTCATCCGTGGAAGTGGAAGCGTGTCTGGCGAAAGAGCGTCGCGTCGCGTCGCGGATGGCATACGAATTGTCTAATTAATTTCCCATAGAAATTGCGCATGAATGAATGAAAGAATCGAAACGTTTATGGAATTTGTACCATGCCATGGATGGGGAATGTATCTACACTGTTATCAGAGAGAGAGAGAGGGAGAGAGAAAGAAAGAACGATAGGGAGAGAACCGTGTAAACACCCACTGTTCGGAGAGACTCCAGTGAGAGAGAGAGGGAGAGGGCACCATTCATTTTGGTGCTTTGAACTGCTTCGAAACGAACGGGTATCGTTTGGATGGAGAACGAGGTCAAGAGGTTGCTGCTGAAACTTGCACTTTTTTTGTGGCCCACCGAAAAAGAAGAACTCTACGAATGATATAAATGGAAGAGAGCTCGAATGACACGCAACTCTGTTCGTAATCGAAAATTAATATTTTGGATTCGCGGAAAGATCTCTGAGAGAGATTTTCGATTGGGAATTTCCGATAGCATTCCCTGGAACGAGCACCCAGTACTTCCAGGAATGCTTGCTCCAGTACTCCAATGAATACGGGGGCTAATAAATATAGCACGTTAAGGAGCTGCGACTCGATAGGGACTGTGGGCCAGTGCTTGATTAGCACTACTAATAATAAACTCTTATACCAATTGTGAGCTAGCTAGTCGGTGTACGTCCACACGTCTCCGACTTCCAGTCTCCCTCCGATGGAATAGATCATCGAATGAGTAATTTGCTCACACTTATAGGAGGATAGAATGATCAATTGATTAATTACAATCTTGATCGCGTATCGCGATCGAGTGTCACGACATTCGATGGAAAGTTGTGTAATTTCTGTTCTGCGTGCATCATCCTTCGCACTCGCCGCCACAAAAAGTTCAAGTTTATGGGGAAATCTTTTTGAATAACACGGAACAGTTTTCTCATGAGCTTTCGTTTTCGTTTATCTTCTCGTTTCAGGCTGTGCAACAATTCATAGATCTCTGCAACAATCTTTGTGCCACAGCAGCAGCAGCAGGGACTTTGACAGCATCCACATCCACGTTATCAGCAGCCTCTGCTTCTGTCTCTGCCTCCTCCACAGCCTCCGCCAGTGGCACACAGCCGCCACTGGCCTTTACAGCGCCACCAACGGAAGCTGCCACAGCAGGAGCGATAGCAGGAGGAGGAGAAGGGCCAGTACCCATCTTCAGGCGAAACATTTCACACACCACAGCCGTCAAGTTTTTGTACGCCCGTAAATTCGATATACCACGAGCCGTGTCGCTCTACGAACAGCATGAGCAGATCCGCCAGAAGGAGTATCTCTACAACATCGATCCGGATGTGGAGCCGCTGCGCTCCGAGCTGCAGACTGGGAAATTTACAATCCTCGTAAGAGTACATTCCCTGCATCCTGTGTCCCTGAAACTTATGCTTTATTTTCCAACAGCCCGCCCGGACCTCCAGTGGAGCGGCGATTGCATTGTTCACCGCCAATCGACACAGTCCGTTGAGCGTGGGCCATACGACGACGCTGCAGGGGATCGTTTATCAACTGGACAGCGCCCTGCAGGACACGGAGACGCAGCGTGCGGGACTGGTGTTTATATACGACATGAGCGGCTCCAAGTATTCAAACTTTGACTACGACCTCTCACAGAAGATACTCACCCTGCTAAAGGTGAGTCTCAGAAGGAGAAACGGAGTCCCCTGAAACGGAAGCGATTTATGGAATGGAAATGTCAAGGAGCGAAGTCTCTTCTTTTGCAAAACAGAAACTACAGTTTGATCGATTGCTTACTTATCTTTAACATTCATATCGGAGATCTATGATTAATCGTGCTGAAAGAGCTCTTCTTTAAGGCTTTTGGTTCCTAGAGATAATATTTATGTGCATACTCGAATTTGGGGGACACTAAAGGGGACAAAAGTCAGTCTTTTTCCTTCCCACCATGAATGTCAGCTTAGGAGACTCTTCCGAAGGCAGTCGGTGGCGTAGTTTGTGCCTCATTTCCGGCGCAAGTCGCAAGTTGAGTCGCGTGCGTCGTCCGTCGTGTGTCGACTCAACTCCGATCTGAGCTTGCCCCAAAAAGTCACGGAGCGTGGAAGTCAGCCCCTGGAAATTATAAATATTAAAACACGATGTTTTCTATTAATATTTCTATGTGCTACTGCTGCTGCTGCTGTTGCTGCCACTGCCTCTGCCTCTGCCTCTGCAGCTATTTTGTCGCAGCTTTTGTATCTATGTATTTGCCAGTACGTGGTGGGGCATTCATCTGCGTATCTGTGCCACGGGGAGGGCCGGGCCGTGCCTCTGCCTATCAACAAAGTGGTTGGGAAATGTCTTCAAGCTGAAAATTTCTGTTTCGTTTCGTTGGCTTTTCATGTCATGCGGCAAATTTTCTTCATTTACTTGCATTTTGTTGTTGGGGGAGGGGGAGTGGCACGTGAAGGGAGCGAGCAGGAGAGGAGAGGAGAGCGCGACTTGGATTGGTTGCAGTTCGTTGCCAGTGCTGGGAAGCCACTGTACATAATTATTGCATGCAAATTATTCTGCCTAATCGTCTGCTGCTTAACAGAGCTTTTTTCAGTGGTCGAAGATCACTTCTGTTAGCCAACAGCCAACCGCCTATGCGCCTCTGTTAGGTAACAGCGTGCGCTCTTCTCTTCCTCTGAGCTGTTAACGTGCTGTCTTAACATGGAATGGAACTGTCTGTTCTTCCTGCCACCATTAACATGGCCATGTCACACTTGTGTTTTTGTATGGTTTCTGTTAGTTAACATAGCAATGTTCTTTGGTCTCCCCCTCCATTCCTTCTCTTCCGTCAGGGGCTAACATTTTTCTGTAAGCCCAGTGTTCTCCATCGAGTCAGCTCGATAGTCAGCTTTTGGCTCCCATAGAAACGATTTACCCGGAAATCCTTCACCGACTAACACCCACACACAAGCACACGACTATTTGAGAGAAACAGAGAGCGTCACAGCAGCACAGAAGCAGCAGCGCAGGAGCGTCACAGCCGCAGAGCAGCATCAAGTCTCGACCTAGCGGTGCGTGGGCGTTGATGCTTCTCTGGCGGCGTCTCTGCCCACGCAAGACCTGGGAGATGGCAACAACAAGAGCAAAAGCTCAAATTACACTACCCTTAGTCAGAGTAAGACGCAATTTGGATTGGGGACAACCCGTAGCCCGCAGCCCGCAGCCCGCAGCCCGCAGCCCGCAGCCCGTAGCCCGCAGCCTGTCTGCCTCCCTTTCCCCTGACCCGTGTCTGCCCCCTTCCCACTTTTCATCCGCTTATTTGCATACAGTGGCGGCAGAAAAAAACAACAACAGGTAGCTGTTATCGCTCTTGTTGCTATCAGGCCTGCGGATACTCTTCCATGGGGGGCCTTGGGTATCAGGATTATGAAACGGAATTGCCATTGGGAAAACGGTTTATTATGCCTGAAGAAATGTATCTAAAGATACTTCCGTCGGATAATATGTCATGGGAATTATTATAATCCAACCATGGGAATGGCAAGGGTACCTAAAGTGTCGGTCCCTCGGGTCTCCCTGGTCTCTACTTTCGTGCTGTTTTCCATCTCATTGGCTGCTGGCTGGCTGGCGGGTGGGTGGTTGGTCTGCTGGTCTGCTGGTCTGCCCCCCTGCTAAGCCGAAGCACACTTCCCATGATCTTTGTTTCGTTGTTTTTGTTTACTTTGCAATTGCGTTTTACTTTTCACCGGCCAGTGGTACCGTTGCTGCTGGAGATCATAAACAATATGGGAAGGGGAGTGGAACAGGTGGGGTGGGATGAGAGAGGGCAGACATCGCCGGCCGGCTGACTGCGGAGGCGGGCTTGCGCCTTCCTTGACCCGAAGGAAGGCCTTCAAAAGATATGTGGGGGATACACCTTTGTATACATACGCATATTATCTACTCCCATACATATTATATATGTATATTCCATATATATTCCACAGTACGAAATCAAAACGCACATAAAATAAAGTTAACAATGAAAATGATTTGCGTGGGTGCTCTCTCATTCATTCATTCGCTCATTCTCATTCTCTCTCTCTTGGTCTCTTTTCTTATTGAAACGCAAATGGAACACAACACAGCTGTGCTGTGTGAAGGTATATTCAATGATAGGTGAGGCAGAGTCGCCCCGTATGTGTAGCAAGAGAGCGGATTACGTTACCTTCACATGTCACATATGCATGTACCTTTGCCATAGCGTCGGCGAGTGAGAGCGAGTGGGAGTGTGAGAGAGCATAAACCTTCGGTGTAGGTGTGTGTAGGCGTTCGTTCTCTTTGGCCCGCGTGCGCTGGTGTGTGCTGCTGAGCGAGACACAACGACGGAAGGTAGGCTGGAAAAGATAAATAGCGGCTAATCTCCTTCTCACTCTCTCTCTCTCTCTGTGCCAAAAGGGCACTGGGACAGGGTGCCTCAGGGTGTCGCGTATGCGCAATATTCCACCATCATCACGCATACGCAACATTTTGCTGCTTGGATGGAAATTAAATCAATGAAAATATCAGATCAGATCATATGCGATCGTTGAAAGCGTGCATCATACATATACGTACTCTCGCACTCACACACACACACACACCACACACCATACACCACACACCACACTCGTGTGCGTCATATGCCTACGCTCTTTCACTCTCACTTTTAGTCAGTGGAAAGAGGAAAGAGGGAGTGGGAGAGGGAGCGGGAGCGGCAGAGGCAGCCAGCGAACAAGTGAGCGTGCCAAAGCTCGCTCTCACTCGCTGCCGCTCTCCTGCTCTTTCCGCCGTGTGGTGTGTGCTTGGCGCTACGTGAATACGTCGCTTGTGGCTATCTTTTGCCTGATTAACTAATTCAGTTGACGTGTTCTAGTCGACGTTTATAGATTGTATCCAAAAGTCCACACTCCACACCAGCAGACCAGCAGACCAGCAGACAGAAGAAACAGAGAAGAGAATAAAAAGGAAGAGGAGATCAACAACAAACGGAGAAGTAGGAGAAGAACAGAAACAGAAACAAAAAAGAAGCGGAACATGTGCGTGTGTTGAATTATTGTTGTGAAAAGCCTTTTCCAATATGGAAAAACCATTTCCGAAACGCGGAATGCGCGCGTGTGTTAAATATTTCGTACCATAATAAATAGTGCTTTTATTGTTGGATGTTGTGGTTGTGGTGTGGGATGGACAGTGCTTGCACTTGGCCCAAAAAACACTTGGCCCAACCTCGATTGACAGATGGGATATCGACTCGACTCTCCTTTTGAGATATTTATAGTACCAACAGAGAGAGCGATAGAGACAGAGAGAGAGAGGGAGAGGCCATTCGTATCATTTCATTCATTCACTCACTCAAAACGGCTTAAATACGATTTGTGTGTTATTTTTACAACGTGCTTTTATTCTTCGTGTTGGCTGTAGCCAGTGCCCCGTTCTTCCTCGACATTGACTCAAATGCTGAGTATTTATCCCTCTCTCTCTCTCTCTCTCTCTCTAATTCTGTGTGCGTGTGTGTGTGTGTAAAAATGCAAATTCGATCAAGACACAACGGAATTGTTTGTGCAACCCACCAACTTTTATTATTGAGACGCGGAATCATCAATTACACTTCGAACTTCCGCATTGCAACAGAACATAACTTTCAGCCCCCCGCCCCCCTGCATCCACTCAGTGGTCTGGTTGTAAACTCTAAAATCTGATTGGAAATCATTTGAGAGCAGTTTTTGAGAAAATCAAAGCAGACCCTGCAATGGTTTTCGAGGTTATGTGGCAACCCTGGTGACTGTGCTTTCACTGCCGCTTCTCGGGGGTAACGGTAATTCCTGATTTCCTGTTGCTGCTTCAAGTTCGAGTATTTTCGAAAACATATGTTGAGTTTTCCATTAAAAATGAGAAGTTCTGGCAATGTTTTTCGGCTACTGAGTGCCCATATGGCAACCCCCTGTCTCACGGACAGCGATGGCAACCCTGGCAGCGAGCAACCACCATCCCACCCACTCGGGGCAGGAGCAGCAGCATCAGCGGGGCAGCAGCTGCAGCGACAACCGAGACGCAGAGACACATGCAACCTTGCAGCAGGAACAACGGAACAACCCCCACAGCAGCGCAGTACTCTCTCCTTCTCCGGCAGGCAGCAACCCTGTGCCTCTCTCGCGGACGGCTCGTGCCGTCGGAGAGCGAAAGAGGGCGATGGGGATGGGGCCGTAGACGGAGAGTGAGAGAGTGGCCGAGGTGGTGGCAGAGAGCGCGTGCGCCGAGAACGAAAAAAAGCAAGCGAAAAAGCGAAAAGCGAAAACGAAACGGAAAAAAAAATAAAGGCAGCCGCCGGAGCAGCGGCAGTCAGACGTAGTTCAGCTTTCCACGAGACGACGCGCGAGACGAAACAATATTCAGATCTCGTGTATTCATTCGATATTCAATAACTATTCAAACGCCTCGATTCCCCTATTCGAAACGGGGGACACCCACTCGTGAAATATATTGTAAAATAAACCTGCCCCGCCCCAGCCCCTCTCCGTCCCCACGCAAAGAATTAAAAGACAAAAACATCGTCGAATTTTTTCCAAGTGCAAAAAAACGGAACACAGTGACTGCCAAAAGAAAACCCACTCTTTGTCTGTTCGTGTGTGTCTGTGTCTCTCCGTGTCTGTGTGAGCGTGTGTGTGTGTGTGTGTGTGTATCTACAG